TAATCTTCTAGTAAGCTTTATACCGGTTAAGAAGCTTAGTAAATCTAATATCTTCTTTATCTTATAGTCTTAGAGTCTATATCTTATAGAATCTAGGTAATATTACTAAGATAGTATTAAGGAACTAAGTCGAAGCGTTATTTACCTCTAGTATTCCTACTCTTTTATAGCTTAATTGAACTATCTCCTAGTTTAATAACTATTTGTTAATATTTATATTTTTATCTAACCCTCTATCTAGGCTTCTCTATTATTAACGGAGCCTAGTAGAATAGATTAGATTATACTCTAAGGCGAACCTTTCTCGAAGGTTTCGGAGTAGACTATATAGAGTTTTATAGTCTATAATAAATAGCTAGAAGTTTATATAAACGCTATTCCGGATTGCCGTTATAATTATACTTAACCCCTTTTTTTCCTAGGTATAAAGTGTATTCTTTATCGACTAGTTCGATTAAATCACTTTATAAGTATCGACCTATTTATCGCTATACTTTTTCTCCGCTTCTTTAATCGATATAATCTCTACCGAAGCTTTCCGTATCTCCGGTTCTTTTTCCTTACTAGGATTATATAGCTCCTAAACGTTAAATTGTACTACAATCGATTCGATATTAGCGATCTATATATCCTAAGTTTCGGTGTCCTTAAGGATAACGTGGGAGGATAGACCCGCGGAGAGATAATCGGCCATGATTTGGACAGATTTCCGATTTTTTTCGATTTAGGGGTTGCTTCGTCGCTAGGTAAATTACCTCAGTATCGATTGGAAGCAGGGTTGATCTTTGAATTAATTAATAGAACAAAGCCGGGCTCATAACTAACAGAAATCTGACGTATTGAAATGTATGCACCTCAGGGCTGATATGGAGAACTCTGCATTTTCTACATAATAGAAACTGCTGTTTCTGTGCGGTTTATGACTAAGCTATGATTACATAATCTTCCATGGTATAATACCATGTAAATCCATGTATGCAACCTTGCAATTTGACATGATCTTCGCTAGGGACGAGTGTAGATTATATGTTGTTATTAAGCCCGCGGCAACTGGCATGCACACAGAAGCTAAGATTATAAAGGGGGCATACTAGTAGCCGAACGTCGTAGTGCCGATACCCTGAAGGAAGAGGCCGAGCATAATTCCGATAAGGATGGGGATCATCAGGTGGCCGGAATCGAGAAGATTGAAAAGTGGTAATAAGCATACTGTAGTCAAACACTAGACAAGAAATCATACCTCCGATCGAACGATTTGATAGTACGTTGGTACCTAGGTACCTAGGTACCACTCCAAGATGTTTGTCATCGAGTTAGTGCAGTACCTAACTAGGTAGGTACAGGTAGGCTCTGACGTTAACCTTGGAAGGTAAGGAGCGCTAGTCCCGTTATGGCAGAGTTGCTCCCAAGGTTGCATTTTCCAAAGTCGGGTAGTTACACCTGAACATCGACGCCTCCGGGGCCGCACTCCCGCTGAGTCATCAGGTGTGGACCGCCATCTATAAAGAGTTGATACAAGTGATATTCCCTCACGCACCAGATTAATAAGGTTAGACCTGTATATAAAACGGGATTTAGGATTGCTGTCACATCTATAACAGTATGGGAAATTTGTTTATCAATAGTATTATTACATCATAACAGCTAATACAAGCCCATGATTGAATATCGACTTGTGTGGAAATAATTGCTACACACGCTATGAACTAGGTTAATCGAGGCAGTTTACTCCCAATTGCAGGGCTTCCTTGCCAATACGCGGGAAGCTACTTATATTGATTGAAAGTGCCCAGGTTGCACATCACCACTTAGGTGAATATAATATATCATCGGGCAGACTAGACCTCAGGATAGCCCACAGACCCCATAGCCCAGACCAACCCAACCCACCAAATAGTCTGGTTTTTGGGCCTATGCCTCAGCCCATCGGTGGGTTATGGGCCCGGAGCATAGGACCATAGAAATAATGGGGGCCTATGATAGGGGCCCATTATGAACCAAACAATATAAACATGCCAATTTATCATAGCCTCATAATTAATGCATTTTTCCCTGGTTTTTTTGGGTATTCAAATTACCGCCTAAGCTATACATGAAGCTATACAGAAGTCTTCTCTCTCTTTAGGAAGGAGATATTAAGGAGATGTAAATAAGAATCAAATTTGATTTTCATGAAACTTTAATTTTTACAAGAAGTACTTATTTTTGTTAGGGGTTTATATAGTTAATATATATATTTCTCTTCATATAGATATTCAATAATCCTCCTCGGTGCGAATTCGTGGTCTACGGGTTAAATTGGATCTTTTATTGTAGAATCTAATGATTGTATGAGGAAACAATATGGATAGATTCTTGATATTGAGATTGGACGGAGGAAGAAAGGAAGAAGAGGAGAGAGAGAGAACTGTCTACGTGGGTGGATCTGTCTCATAGTGGGTCCATTGGTGCCTCAGGCACCCAGGCACCCAACATCTTTTTAGAGTGATTTTGTATGAGATTTTGTATGACTAGTATCATGATACTAAAATTAGTATAATATCTACTTAATTCCCGTTTCTTACTATGATAATATAATAATACTGAATATATAGGTTGGTACATACGCAAAATACAGCCATTAATCAGCTACTTTATACGTGCTAAGACTATATTTATGCATAGAAATGGGCATTGATGGGCTATCCAGAGGTCTAGGGCAGACAATTGAGATTCTGAAAACCGACTTCCCCATGTTACAATCTTTCACAGAAATCAGGATATATAAATCTAGGTCTCTTTCAAAATGTTGTCTGAACGAACATTGGCAGTTTCCCTTTTAGGCAGTAGCATTTCTAAGAGCATGGATGTGATACTCCCGTCTATTTAAGGAATTTCCGCTCTCGGCTCTTGTTCCTTCCTTCATCCACTTGTCCCGAGGTCAGCACTTTCTTCCCCCAACTCTTGCTCATCTATCCATTCTAGGCCTCATAGGCGTCATCCTGCTGCTCTGCTGAGGTCTCGGCACCTTCATCTTCTCTAACCACTTGCATCACCTTCTACGCCCGGACTTTGTTTAATCACCATACTAGTAGTTACCTCACTTCACTGTGCTTTTCTCTCCGTCTCTAGATGTTTGGATAAACCTTCGGATATGCCAGGCTATATATACTCTTGTTGCTTCTCTGGAGATCCCAAATGACCTAGAAGATTGATATCTGCCCGCTGCCATGTCGTATCAATACCTTCGCTGACATTCCCCCCTTCCCGGGAAGAACAGCTGGGCAATCTCTAAATTGCTCGAGAAAGATACACCAGGTATTAAGCTCTAGCCGAGCGGTTGGGCTTCGTTGGAGTAGTCTCCTTTTATCCCTAGAACGGGCTGCTGATTTTCTTAGACAACCACTCTCTATCCGACGGTTTCCAACTAGGAAGTGACCCTGATCACAAAGCCACAACGAGTGTGAAGTCCGTTAACCACGTTAATTACTACACCAACGTATACTCGTGGGTCGACCACATAAGGGACATCGCAAAGCTGAAGTCGGACGACGTTTACCTTAATCCGGACTACAAGGTTGTTATATTCTTTACACCGGAAATGACGAGAATAGGCAGTAGTCGTCTTAGAGATGCGGAAGTGAAGAGAAAACGCAAACCCACATATGAGTATCCTTACCGGTAAGTATTTCTTTTCCTTGTTCAATGTTGGCCTATGTTACGGGGTGTTAATACTACGTAATACATAATTCGCTTTCTTGCTTCCACGAGATAGCACGGAGTCCCATATTACCAGGGATGTGGGTGAAGAATCGGATGGGAAATGATGAGGAAAAAGACTACTAGATTCTACGTATTCAGCCGAACCAAACTGGAAGAGAATTACAAATGGTCTAAGAACACTATTGGCGAAAGAATACCCTAGGCTATAAATATCGAAAGCAGGATCCGTAAACTTTCGGGAACGTCGAAGCGGGCGACGAACATGGTATACAAGCCCGATTCCGGAAGTTTATCGGAGATGTCCTCAACACTATCTTCGAAAAGCAACCGATCAATCTAGGTTTCGCGGATTTTAAACATATACCGCCTAGTTACCCTAGCACTTCCGATGGCTCCACGCTACATACAGTAGGCACATCTAATGTCAATTGTGGCTAGAATCGCCCTCTATCCCACTTGCCCCATCCGAGTTCGGCCGGGCTTATGAGCTAGGGTTCCTCTTCCTTCCAGTTGACGGACAATATTTTAACGACTTCGAGCTCATAAATCGAGATAGAAGGTCTGCCGATAGTAGCCTTCTATAGGATTGGGGTAGAGACCATCTAAATATTTACTGACTAGGATTTCGCAAGACCCCGGTATAGGGTTGGGACAAACCCACTAAGTGGACTCGGTGATCATCCTAGCCAATTATTTAGCTTAAGTGTATATATACTTTAATGAAACCTTTGGTGCCGTTAGAGGAAGAGAACCTGGTGTCATTCCATATGTATTATGCCAATACTCCAGTCTATGCAATACAAGGGATGACTTGCTTGCGTTCAACGTGCTTATCGTAGGATCGAGATCCGCCAGACCTGACATTACTAGAAAATGAGCCTCATTGTCACCATATCTATATCATACTCACCCTTCTCTCTAACCACACCACATAACATCTTCATTTTATAGTCCTGTCCTACATATAACCAAACACATACGACCATAGGGTGTGGAAAACAGGGCTTCCCGTCCGCTCAGCCGTACTTAAGCCACACGCCGGTGAGTTAGTAGTTGGGTGGGTGACCACCAGCGAATCCTCACTGTTGTATGTTTTGTTTTCTGTTTTTGTTAGCTTTTATTTTAATCCTTGACATCAGAAGAGATGGTCAGATCAACAATGGACTCAGAAAATTCACTCGTGGAATGGATGGGCTTTACAAAAGAGAAATCCTTGCACAGGCGTTGCATATGACAACTAGAAAAATCCCTTTCGGCATAATTATATTCCTTACGTGTTTTTCTTCGACATGAAACTGCTAAGTGGCATGTAGTGATGGTCTATATGTGTCCAATAGAGACTCCCATCGAGGAGTATCCATGAGAATCGAATTAGGAACCTCCCTCTCGATGTACTGCAGAAGGAATGTCAATGTCAGTAATGGGAAAAGCAACAGATGACCTTCGGAAAACTCACGTCACGGTATTTGCTTTCCATTCTCATTCTCAAGAAGCACTTGAAAGGCATCGTGTCCTTGGTAAAGTACTCGGACAAGGTTTCCCCGGGAGAGCCTTTCTCAGACTCCAAAACCGTCGATAAAATCTCGAGGGTAATTGCCCAACCGCCATGATTCTCTAATCCCAATGCCCCAAGCAGTAGCCCGACGTGGTTCTGAAGAAGTGAATGATGCACCTTGCTCCAGACATTCTGCAAATCATCCGTTAAGGTGGCTGCTCCTGGCGGCAGTGAATCAAATCTCACGCCGTGATTTCGCAACGTCGGGACATGCATCCTCACCCCTCCGAAATCGCGCACGGCAAATCCTTTGATTTGACCTGTCCGACGGCAAACACGGGCCACAAGATTTTGCCCGTGTCCTTCCAGACCAATTCCATACTGAACCAACGGGGGAAGTACAAGCTCAAACAGGACTGTAACGTATCTGTTGGATAAGGAAATCAACATCTGTTCTGATCCTTTCCTGTTCACTGACCATTCCACTGACCTTTGAAACCATTCCTTTTTCTGAGAGATTGTTTCCAACCTATACAGAATCTCTGCATATATACGACCGTCTCCACTAGGCTTCTGAGCCAATGCTGCAGCAATGATAAGAGTTTCATCATTTTCCCGAGCCCTGGTTTCCAGGCTATCTCGCAGAATACAAGAAAGGTGGCGTGCGTCGTTGAAATCTTCCTGGCTGCCTGTGACGGCTGCTACCTCCCGGAAAACCCAGAGATCATTTGGAAGCAATTTCTCCAGGAGCTCTGATTGAACAGGGCCGCTGCAAGTCGTCCAAGGCGTGATAGTTCGCAGGGCGGAAGTTATCTGACAAGCTAATGAGAGCTTCAAGTGGTAGTTGAATTCCAACTCTGGTCGTAGGGTCAGCGTACGCATTGACGCCTGAGCGTCGGCACAATCTTCGATGAGCTTCAGGACGGTGGCGTTGGGGAATCTTTGGTGAATAGAGGGTAATTGCTGAGAAAGACAAGGGACGATCACCCGGTCACTGGTTATCCCTGGAATCTCGAGTCTTTCTAAGAGTGGCTGCAGTTCTTGCTCAAAGTGGCCTGTAACACGAAGATCGGTACGTGGAACAGAGATGAATGCCAGAGTTGGCTTGAGCATTCTAGGAATATCCTTAGCGGTGACTTTTTTCAGTGGCGCTTGGGCATAACACAACCGATGGTACTGTTCAAAAAAAGAAAAAAATAGGAATTAGCTCAGGATTTGGTTTCAATTAATGGAATCCTACAGGATGACTCGGATGGCCATGGGTCAATGTACGTTCCCAATGAGCAGACCTATTCTTGAGGTTTAGTAATGGCTGGTCCTGGCCAATCTCGAGCCATTTCTCTGGGTAAATCCTTTAATACAAGAATGATAAGATGACATTGGTAGTACCTTACCTTGATTGGCCGCTGAGTTGCGCAACTCTCGAACGATTTCATCGTACTGTCCCGCTGGCGACGTCTCCGAATGAAGTACTGAGGACTTTGAATAGTGTCCCTGGGTCCAATTCTTCATGATTGGTATCTGCGAGAATCACCGGTGGCTGTAAGCTGTCTGGGCGTACAACAGACACCACGCGATCATCTCTCATTTCAATGGTATTGCCGGGTTTGATTGCCACCTTGACCAAGCCTTCACCCTCGGGATTGAGTGTACTGAGTAGGCATAGTATCTGTGGCTCTTCGGACGTAGTGATCTCAAGCTTTGCATGAACTAGACCTTCGTTGACGATTTCTGCAAGAACACGCTTGGTTGTTTCAAAAGATGCTCGATTGTGCCTAGAAAGGATAGTCATGTTTTTCTGTTGGAAATGATTAAATCAACTTTCTATGATCAAAGGTATACATCCTCGAATATAAGTATGTTTTCGTCTGCCTGAAATAATCCCAGCTAGCCTCGGTGTGCGTCTCAACAAAACAATAATGCAGTAGGTATTGTAGCTATCTCAATCGGCTGCTTTTGTCCCGTCTATTCTGGGCCCACTGAGAGATTAATTTAGCTTTGCAGTTGATCGTCAAATTCTAGCCATGACACGTAGCGCGTGTTCTCTCCACTTTGCCGATAGGTCACATCCATTAAGCCACAGAAATTTATATTGTACAGTATTATAAAGTATCGAGAAATAGTGCAGAATTACCAGAATTACTCCGTAGTGTCAAACTGTAAGATGTGACATCCCATGTGACTATATAAGGTTCCCTCACACAGCTTCCTATGTCACCGTCCACACTCATTACATCCCAACATGACCATGGCCCAATCATTCCAACAAGCTTCTTATTTGCCAGATCCCAATAAGGAAACCCGGATTTTCGACTCTTCACGGGAAGGACCCGCGGAAAGAATCCTTCCATATGGATTTCCCCACAAATTGGGCTCCGATATGGCTTGGAAAAAGGAGACTATCTCTATAGATCACCCTACAGGTGCTGAGACTCCATACCTTCTAATTCTGCAAGATCCGCAGTTGGACGAGATAGAGGCAGCGCTCAGGCACTTCGAACGTCAGCCAGCCACCGTTCTACTTCTTTTCTGCCCACTCAAGTCTGACTAGTATCTTACAGAACTGAACCAGCCAATAGAGACTTTGGACACGTCAACGTTTCCTTTGCCATGCTTAAACCCAGTTCTCCGGTCTGCATCTGTTGAACAATCTCCCATGTATGCATACATGATGTTTGCTGCAGACCGAGCCTTTTCCTATTTGTTTGCTTTATGAGCAATGATCAGATGGTTTTTACAGGGGATATAAACCCTGCATGATTAAGTTTTAGCAATTAAGAATCTTTCTCCTTCTTTCTCCCACTCTCAGTAGTAATCTACCATAGATTGCTCATTAGCATCAAACAATCTGCATTCAGGCTATGGATTTACACTTATTCGGGGGGTCCCAGTAGAACGGTATTCTCCCAAAGAGCTCGTCATCATCTATGTCGGGATCTCTTCTCACGTCGCCTCCATTCGCGGTCGGCAAGACCATCAGTTTGAAGGGCAGCCAGCGGACGTGATGCTGGCCCACATAACCGACATGCGACGCCCGGGTGACTCGCAGAACTTTTCCCTTCCAGCATATCCAGACGGCGAAGTGGTATATCACACAGATGTGGGGGATATTGTGTCCCTCTTCGCTTTAAGTGAACCCTCAAATGGCGGTAAAAGTCTGCTTGCGAGCTCGTGGACCGTGTACAATGCTCTGGCGGAGACCCGCCCCGATCTGATCCGCGTATTAGCGGAGGACTGGCCGATACCTAGGTGAGCAAAAATTCTCAGTTGGAACTTTATACTTTGAGGAAACGATCCAGTCTGCTGACGGCCTCACTAGTGCACAAGACCCCAGTCTGATCATTCACCGGCCGCTTCTGTTCTACCTACCAGCTTGCGGTACAGCCCCAGAACGAGTGATCTTGCAGTTCTCTCGACGATCATTTTCTGGATTTGGTTCTCGGACCCAGGCGAATACGCTAAGTGTCATCCAAGCGGAGGCACTAGACGCTCTCCACTTTCTTGCAGAAAGGTTCCATGTAGCCATGAAGCTGGAGAGGGGCGATATTCAGTTCGTCAATAACCTCAGCATGATACATGCTCGTAACAGCTATGTTGATAGTCCAGACAATCGGTAAGCTAGTAATCATGGTGAGATGCGTCCAAGACCGACTAACTGAAAACATCCAAAGCCGTCACCTGCTGCGTCTGTGGCCTCGTGATCCTCAAAACTCGTAGGTGACGCTGGAGCCACTGCGCAATCGCGCCGATCGGATTTTTGACGAAGCTTTTCGGAAGGGCCCGCAGGTATTCCCTCTGGATCCAATTGCTAGATCGGTGGGGAAGGCCAGAAAAGATTGAAATCATCACAGATAGTACAGATACAGCTTTAGTAATTTGTCAACAAACAGGATGATACCGTCTTTTTACCATGTAAACATGTGACTTTTTTACTATGCACTTTGCTTGCTAATTGTGTCCGACCAGATTGTCAAAACCGGACAATTGTTGTTTTTAGTTAGAGAATTGTACCATTGTGAATTTTACCCGTACGTTCGCCATACACCAGATTTTCGACATAATTGCCTAGGCTATTGTTGTGTATGCCTGTGTGCCTTAGGCATGACCCCTCAGTAGTTAGTTAGTTGGGGGCTTGTTTCCATCTCTCTCATTACAACTCTCTCCTCTCTGCTTCTTTGGTCCCTACACTGTAAGGCCCAATAGCTATACCTAAAGAGTGACCGTGTTGGCGACTCATCTATGTAACTGGTACCTTCGGACTTTCAAGATCGCTCTCAAACAATAAACTAACTACCACATTTATAAAAAGAACTTAAGTCTATTGGCGCAGAGTCCCCTTTGATCTACATCTGTCTTGGGTGCTACTCTGTACAATATAGACAGATCTTTGACGGCCTATCTCGCCGGTCGAAATAGCAAATTTGATGAAACTATCCATATATCATCCCAATGGAAACGAATCGTTCGATATGCGAAGGGTAGTGCGTCTTGACGCATCTTACCCTTGTCATTGACTCAACTTTAGATGCCTCGGCCTTGGTCAATAGGAGGGGCAAGGCCAATCCAACTGAAAAGTGGACGTCTAATGAGAACACAAAATACCCGACATCCGCGCCGTTTCCGATTCACAGTGGCTTTCGCTAGAGAGTAACTACACTCAAGTCAGGTAAAACATAATAAAGGGGGTTAAAGCGAACGAAGCAGATTTTTACGAGCCGCTGAAGATCCTAGAGTTAATATTGTTGTAGTTCAAAGATTGATTATTATTGTACCAGAGGGATTAACTGAGGCTATATACAACGAGAAGAACAAGTTTATTGAAAACCAACTTTCTTCTTCGTATAAACAATGTGGGAATTAATTCTGATGCGGCCTTTGATTCCCTGCACCAGTCTCATGCACAAGCTGTCTAGGCGCAGCTATTGGTACTTTGTCACCACGATCGTGGCGAATCAGTATGAAACATTAGCAAGCCTCCATCATTTTGCAGGGCGAGAAGAAACACCAATATAATATAAGATCTTCATTTCAGATGACCCTTATATATATTGCCTTTTTTTACGAAACTGTCAACCCCCCTCATCCTCACTTTCCCTTCTCATTTTCCCTACTCACTTTCCCTACTCACTTTCCCTACTCACTTTCCCTTCTCACTTTCTTCAAAGCCCATCAAGTTACCACACAACGTGCTGCTCACAAAATGCTGGGATCTAGTACTGCAGATCACGTCACGGGGCTCACATACGTGTTTCTCGTGACTATTCCCGTTTGGTATTTGATATCGTATCTGACCTCCCCTTTACGCCGGTTTCCCGGACCATTTGTCGCCGGTAAGCGAATCTTAAATAACTTTAAAGAGGCTGTTTCGCTAACATACGTATAGGATGGACGAACCTGTGGCGAATGTTCCAGGTGCGACAGGGAAAGTATCAGCTAGTGATCCAAGACCTGCACAAGAAGTACGGTCCAGTGGTGCGAATCGCGCCGAACGTTTTAGACCTGGATTTTCCGGAATTGATCAAGACAATTTATAACGCCAAAGAAGATTACCTCAAGGCCAGTCCAATTATGCCTCAACCCCGAGTTTCTACTAACACTTTATTATAGACGGAATTCTATCATGGTAGTAGTGCCAAGAACGATGGAAAAATCATCTATAATCTATTCAGCGAATGTACTCCGGAGATCCATGCTCAGCAGAAGCGACCTATCTCCATGCACTATTCCCTTAAGGGAATACTATCACTTGAGCCCCATATAGATGTGATGATTCGGTATTTCTGTCAACGATTGGAGGAAAACTTTATCGATGCACCAAACGGCACCCAAATATGTGACATTGGAGAGTGGATTTCATTTTGTAAGTCGAGTAACCTTTCTTATTCGAAAAAGAAGATCATTCAGACTGATTTGGAGCAGATACCTGGGACGTTGTTGGCCAGGTTTTATTTAGTCAGCCTATAGGATACCTGGAGAAGGGCTGCGATTTTAATCACACCGTACGAACTGCAGATATTGCGATGGACTACTTTTCATTAGTAGGACAAATGCCAATCCTCGACCGCCTATTTGACAAAAATCCTATTTACCGGCTTGGGCCGCCCTCTTTTGGCCCTATCACGAACATCTCGATCCAGCATCTAGTAGATCGGCTTCAGAACAACGACACCGACTATCATGACCCTAGCAAGCCTGACTTCCTTGACAAGTTTATCGAAGCAAAAGGGAAATATCCAGACGTGGTCGATGATACGCAAATTGTTTCTTACCTAATGTTCAATATGATTGCGGGAGCCGACACAACGGGCATCACGCTCAACGCATCGCTCTACTTCTCGCTGAAGCACCCACATGTCTGGGAACGCCTAAGATCTGAGATCCCAACGGAAAGTTTTAGTTCGGGACCAGCGGCGTACAAAGATACAAGAGAATACCCATACTTGAATGCCATTGTTCGGGAGGCAATGAGGTGTCATCCCGCTGTTGCAATGCTTCTGGAGCGATATGTACCCAAAGGAGGACTTGACCTTCCCAACGGACATCATATCCCAGCTGGTTGTGTGGTGGGAATGAACCCTTATGTCCTCGCGCGCAATAAGTCTGTCTGGGGTGAAGATGCCGATGTGTTTCGGCCGGAGCGTTGGCTACGCAATGAGAAACTCGAAACCGAGGAAGAATTCGAGAAACGTCTCCGTCTGATGAACAATACCGACCTATCATTTGGAGGTGGAAGTCGTGTCTGTATCGGTAAACACCTGGGTCTTCTTGAGGTGTACAAAGTGCTTGCAACTCTTGTGTCCCGCTATAATATTCATCTGGTTGATCCGAAGAAAGATTGGAAGACCCACAACAGCTTTTTTGTTCGACAGAGTGGTATTAAAGTGAGACTATCCCGTCGTGAATGATGAAGGGTGCTCATTGATGTTGGTGGGTGGAGTTCTATCACGATGAACTTCGAAATCAGCTACGACAAACTGATATAACCCACTCTTTTCGGCGGTTTTGACAAACTACTTGTTTTTCCTTTTTCTGTTGTTTGTTTTTTTTTTTTTTTTTTTTTCCTTTCTCTCTATTCCAACCCAGATGTCAGTTGTAATTTAAGAATTACCCAAGGAAAAATTAATGGTATTTTTCAGTATCACATTTCCGAGTTCAGAATTCTAATTGTAGCTGGCATACAACCTTGATCGGCTGGGGCAGCTGAATTTGTGCATCTCCAATATGAACCCAGTCTCCCTGAGGGCCTTCGGCCTCTTAGCTACTTCATCGTTCTTCAATCCCATGACCACAGGTGAGACTATGTCATTAGGAAAGGAATACTCCTCTACCACTTCCTCAGCACATGTAAAGGTATTTGTCAAACGAGCAACGCAAGTACTGTCTGCTGTGAGAGCCATAACATGCATCTCCACGGATTTACCACACAGCGGATGGTAAAAATCAATGATTTTCACGTACTCATCTTCGGAAAAGTCATTAGCGCAAACAAGAATCTGCTCAGCTGGACAAGATGTTTCTTCGGATCTGGAAGTCAAGGCTCAAGCCGTAAAAGCAAATAACTCCCTGTAGATGGGCTGTTAAGTTCACTTCCAAAAGCCAGTTTTGTCGATTTCGGAGGATGAATTTGCAGGTTGCTGGGGATCTCAGTGGAATTCGTGTGAATGAAACCAAGTTTCTTTTTGATTGAGATTGGAACATTAATGTCATATTGTGTCGGTGCTCTCTCGGGATCTTTTATGGTTTAGACCATCTCGGACTCCGCTCCGATACCCGTCGGGTTGCCGACCTAAAACTCTGAACATTGCCGTGCCATTCGGCTTCGGTCTTGCTTCTAGTAGTACTTAGATATGATCCCGGAAGTTTAATCGAACAGGAAAATAAGAATAGGTACAGTAGATCTTTAATGCTTCTCAATGCTTTACAGAGATTTCAAAATGGATGTCTCCACCAATTTCGGGTCAAATGCCGATCCACCTACATGAGTCAAAGTTTTTAAGACGTAATTCTTTAAATTTCTATCGGGTCTCAAACTGCACAGGCGCTGAAGTTGGTCATTCAGAGTGATTTCTGAAAGGGCTCAAAAAAAATGACGGCCAAATTAGAACACAAAAAGACGTCCTGTGAGGCTCGGGAGATTGATCTCGATCGGGATTTCTCACATCCATTTAATTTTTCACTGGTATGATATGTTGCACGTCTTAGCTCGGGCAGCCGTTAATATGAACCAAACAGCGCCGAAAGCTTCATATTGTAGTTGCAGGAGTATATTTTGTATTCAACAGTTCATTGGGATCTTCTATTGCATCCGGGGCCCATGATGAGCTTTCCGAATATTTTCACATCCCAGGCGATAGCATAGAAATGGTGCTTCCGACCTCGCTTTATATGGCCGGTTTTGCCATAGGTATGTCACCCAACTTCAAGTCTAATAACCAAAGAGTCCAGCTAACTTTCTGTAGGTCCTGTTCTTTTTGGACCCTTGAGCGAGTATTTCGGGCGAAAGCCGGTCCTTACTATTACCTACTCCATATATCTCATATTCACCATGGGATGTGCGTTAGCGCCGAACTTTGCAGCGCTTCTTATTTTCCGATTCTTTTGTGGATTGGGAGGGTCAGCACCAAATGCCATATTGGGTGGTCTATTCTCTGACATCTATGAAGATCCCCACCAGCGTGGATTAGCAATGTCTTGGTTTATGTTTGCAACAACATTCCCGCCTCTGCTAGGACCGATTATCTCGGGCTTCATTTCAACCATTACTTGGAGATGGACTTTCTGGGCAGGCCTTCTCATCGCCGCTCCTGGTTTTCCGCTTCTGGTTACCATGCCTGAGACATATGTTCCAGTTTTGCGATTGGAGAATGGGAATTCTGCCAACAAAAAAGATATTTCAGACCAGAAGAATATCGGTCACCTCCCCGGTGGAGATTCGTTCTTTTCTAAAATGGGCGTTGTTCTCAGTCGCCCATTCTCGATGTTTTTCCACGAATCGATTGTCTTTTGTTGTTCGATGTACCTCGCCCTTGTTTACGCGACTTTATATTTATATTTCCAGGCATATCCTATCGTCTTCCAAGGTAGGTTCTGCTACCATGCACACCATCGGACTTCACTGACACCTACAGATTTATACGGTCTATCTGCTGGCATTTCTGGCCTGGCTTTCCTTCCAAGTGAGACCCTTCGCCATTTCCAAACTTCGATACTAATACTAATCACTTCTTAGTTCTACCGGGGTCAATCATGGCATTCCTCGTCTTTTTCTTGTACAGCTCGCATCACGCCAAAGCATTGAAATCCGGAAGGTCCTGGGCTAAATTAGAAGAATATCGCCGCCTACCTCTTGCTTGCATTGGTGCACCGGCAATCCCAATAGCTCTCTTCTGGCTTGGATGGTCTTCGAGACTTTCCATCCATCCAGTGATGCCGATGATGTCCGGAGTTTTCTTCGGGTTCGGTTACTTGTTGATTTTCATCGCACTCATCAACTATCTCACTGACGCGTACAAACAATTCTCAGCTTCGGCCGCGGCTGCGGCGAGTACATCGCGATCTATATTTGCGGTATTTCTGCCTATGGCTACAAACGCCATGTATACCAAATTGGGGATTGACTGGGCAAGCTCGTTGCTGGGTTTTTTTTCCTTGGCTATGGCTATCATCCCGTTCGTGTTTATTAAAAAGGGTGCTTGGATTCGTGCAAACAGTCGATTCGCACAAATGGCGCAATAGAAAACTTATCTTATGTGGGCTAGTTTGATCTTATTTTCAATATATCCATACTATCGACTTCCATCAAGCTATGTTAGTAGATGTATAACTATGCATCAGGGTGTACATATTCTGCATTGTATGGGAGACCAAATAAATGCAAAGACTACTCTCAGTCGAACATAGGCCTGCTGCTATAAAGTGCCCACAACAATGTGTAAATGTGAAGTTGAGGACACTTCTTCTAAAGCGACGGATGTTTCTAGGAAGTAATTGATATTGTTAGGTTCCTCATCTAGCTACATAATCTATTTGCTTACATCAAACTGTGGTTGGTATCCATATCCTGCCGTCTAGTTCTTAGCAGATTCTAGAAAGTTGTCAGCACCATATAACAAAATGTCACTTGTTAACTCTTACCCTTCTGGACATCGGCCTTGACATCATGAGATTCCTCGTTCTTCTTGTCGACGACAGCATCCTTGGCAGCAGAGGCACGGCTGGTCAAGCTGGCGTCGCTGTCTTTAGCAACGCCCTTGTTGGCGTCCATGGGGGCTTGAGCTCTAGTGCCCTGGGTGGACTCAGAGACGTAGTTCGGCGTTATGAAGTATAGAAATATTAGTGTTTAATGCAGCTAATAAATTCTCCATGAGGGTTGCTAACTTTGACGGTCTCCATGATGATTAGAGGGGTATTGATTGGGTGTTTTGGTAGAAGGTTTGCGAGTTTGAATGTATGATAAGTAGATGATGAATAAAGAATAATTAGTTGAAACGCCCAAGAGAAGGCTTTGTATAATCAGAAAGCTGTTTGTCCCTGTAGAACATCATTGCACCAACAATCTTAGAAGAAGTAGGCCCAGGTAATGGCAACAAAGACGCTAGAAGAGTAAACAAATCCCAGCATAAGTCGTAAGTCACAATTACTCACCGTGGTAAGATCTAATGATATGTCTGGCCAGACAAAATCAACAATATTCAAACCTCACCACAGCCTCACTCTCACGCCAAAGAGCAGATCCTAAGGGCCACAAAAAATATCCTACACCAACATACTTTCTGAACTAAAGCACAAGCACAACTCTTAACACTATCTCACATTCTCTCGCATTTTATATCTCTTCCACTCCGGGGATATTTCATTGATCTAATGCAATTTAGCAATTTAGGGAAAGCTTGTTACATTTATTAATTTCTACCTCTTCTCTAATAGTATGCATTTGAGTCACTGGATATGTTCTTTCTTATAACTTTATATTCAGTCGTCTGATCCTGCTGCGATACAGCACTACTTCGATCGCTGGTTGATTTATATGGCCTAACACGTCGATATCTTAATCCTCCTAATATGAGAATATAAAAATATAAAAATAAAAAACATACAACAGTGAGGATTCGCTGGTGGTCACCCACCCAACTACTAACTCACCGGCGTGTGGCTTAAGTACGGCTGAGCGGACGGGAAGCCCTGTTTTCCACACCCTATGGTCGTATGTACTGGGTTATGTGTGGGGAGGGATAATAGAATAATAGGATTGCAGCTATTATGCCAATAAGAGAAGAGGGTGCACTATAGATAGAGTGAGAATCTGGGTGAGAAGCGGTGAGAATCCTACGCGACCACAGGCCTAGCCTTAGAGAGTTTAGTGTTATCAAAATGGTCTCCCAGCTAGGATCTTCCCTTCATGATATTTTTGTCTAACAAAGAGAACTGCACTGTAACCTAGAAAATGAAAAGAACCTTACTAAGAGCTGCGCACACAATAGCAACGACGAGGAGCAACTCTGTCATCTGGGCGAGAATCTACATTTTCGCTGAACTATGTAGAATGATGGTGAGGCTGTTGAAATGAAAGCTGCTCATATATCTATATGTTTGTTATTGTTGACAGGTATCCATCTGATCAATGCCCTGTTTGTCAGGCCTCACTTCTTTGCTAGTATATTAGCTAGCCTCTTGCAAATGGAGAGTTAACCTTCTTCTTCTTCTTCTTCTTCTTCTTCTCTCTCCTTCTGGCTCTTGCTGCCAGATCAGTTATATTTCGAGATACCCCTGCATGACGTTGGGGCTTAATCCTATTGGGTTGGTGATGAGCTTAAGAGCCCTGCCGATATACGTCTTTGTGAGATCTACAAACCGGACGCTCGACAACAAGCGGAATTTAGAAGAACAAGACAAGTCAGAGCGAGCAGAGAAGAAATTAAAGGGCCAGGAGACCGAACATACAGACTTCGTGCTTAGCCCCGATATGACCGCCAACGAGGTTATGGAATTGTACACCGCGCTATTTTCTCGTTTAAGTTGGTCAACTGGTGTGTTACGTGTGTTACATTATTGAAAGGCCTTTCACTAGAAAATATTGTTATTGCGGGAAGAGAATTTGATATTCTGCTTTTGATCTTATGAAGACATCGTGACCCATCACCTTACCATTCTATAATCATAATACTCCTTCACACATAACCAAGTACATACGACCATAGGGTGTGGAAAACAGGGCTTCCCGTCCGCTCAGCCGTACTTAAGCCACACGCCGGTGAGTTAGTAGTTGGGTGGGTGACCACCAGCGAATCCTCACTGTTGTATGTTTTTGCTTTTGATTCGTTCGCAAAGTCCCCTATGCTTTCATGCTTTCTTTCTTTGCGTTTTGCTGGATCTTTCCAGGCTTTGTGCTTTTGTTTCCTTTGTCCCATGAAGCTATCTAGATAGGCTCCATGCAGCAGATAGAATCATTATCATCATCTGTTATCATTGATTCTGATTATCATTTCTTAACTATGAGTCGTGATTTGCCGGACCGACCTTCATATCCTAGTATTGTACTTGATCTAGACATAAGGTCCTCCCGCGAGAAACGTAGTGTTCTCGTACAAACTATATTTCGCCAGGCTGCATTGTAGATCAAAGCTATCACAGTCATGTCTTTATTGTCGTTCAACCCATTTGATTTTATTAAGATCTCGCACTGCTAAGAACAAAGTTCACAAGATGTACGCGTAAATCTCCTTTTTTATATCTGTAGTCGTACATAGGCTGAGACCACGTTCAGGTGCTTGCGTGATACTTTCTGTTCTACTCCCTATCAGTAGACAATGTCTTCGTTGTATTTTATTAGCCTTATCTGTTTTTATAAACTCAGTGTATTATGAAATCTGTGAGCCTAGCTGTCTATCCACCGTCTATATTACAATCAAAACCTGCCTATCTTCTATATATATACACAACATGCAAGGTACCAATGCCTAGACATTGCATGAAAAGGGTCCTCCGACGGTACCATCGGCATATGACTTGATCTATCTATGGGTAAGTACTCGCACAAGCAGAAGAATATGGGAGGAGTTCGATCAAACTTACAATATCAACAACGCTCGAGTATGTTCCAGCACCTAGAACAATTAGGCCAATGAACAGGATGCAGACGTTAAGTACGCCGAAAACTATTCTTTTGCCCATTGAGGTTTCGTCGCCGCGGATGAACATAAACCACATTATAGCCGGGAAATAGAATGTGAAACCGGAGATGAATAGCGACGAGATAAGGGACAGTAGGTCATTGAAGAATGGAATGACCTGAGCAACGATAAATTCAAGGATTGTCAGGACTGTGACGACAACCAGCCAGGTTATCCATCCCATCTTTGTGTTAATGAACCGGATGTTAGAGTTTTTGAACATGCGGCCGTGCACTAGTCGACCTAGTACGACTGTGTTGATAGAACCACTGATGAAGATGACCGGTAAGGCGATACCGAACGCAACTCGACTGAGAAGGCTACTAGCAGACAATAGGGCGGGGCTCTTGACGTCCTGGCCAACAAAGGCATACACTAGTCCACCAGTCACAGTGTAGATGAAGATCTCAGTCAGACCAAGGGCCCAAACAGACTTGGGGAAATCAGTCGGCGTGTGCATCTCATCCATAAAGGAGAATTGACATAGAGCGAAACTGTACGCGAAAATGATATTGGAGAGGGCGATGAATGCTTCGGAGAAGGTAAGGTTATCCTTTGGCCAAGCCGACCAATTCACAGCTTGTAGGCCAGTAGAATTACTAGCCTCCACTCCAGTTCCGATAATGGTGATTCCGATGGCGATAATGATTGAGGCGAAATCGACGTAACCGAGAATAGCCATATCAGAGAAAGTCGGTGGCACGGCGAATAGCAACAAAATGATAGCCGAGATGAAACCGAAAATCACGGAACAAATGTTGCTCCCTGTGATATTTGCGAATGCGATTGCCCCAGTTAGACAGTGGGATCCAGCAGACAGCAACAATTCCAAGCATAGCATCATGAAGAGAACTTCATATCCCCATCGCCCGAACATCTGCCTGCCTGCCTCGGGATAGTCCGAAATATGCGGGAACTTCACTTTGACCTGACCGATAATATAGCTAGTGTAGACAGCGATGAGGCCGAGGCCAACGCAGCAGATCACACCCACCACCATCCCGAGAGTCGCAAAGGTAGACGGGATCGAGAGAGATCCTAGTGCCACCGCCTCTACGATCAATACGATCGTGAGGCGCTTCCATCCCAGTCGATTGAACTTCTGGACACCTGCTTTATATATCTCCTGGTCCCGGCCACACATTTCGCTCAATTCCCCATCACCGGGGAACATCTTTTCGACATCTTTCTTGATTGACATTTAATGGCGGCGGATGTCGAACAGTGAGGCTGTTAGGAAGGAGCACGATAGAGGTAAAAGGTGAACGTCTCTCGATATTTCGGACACGTCCACGGGTAAGGCACGGCAGAAAGAAAAAAGATCCCGAGTCTCGGACAGATCCCGAATCTCGGACATTACCTACCTTATCGGACATAACTTTGGAAAGACGCCCACAGACTCCCAACAACTTCCTGTAACATTCACCCGATTTTGCCCCACCGGATCCTCTACGATCACGCCATCTGCATGGGAATACGTATGGCCTTTCCTCTTTGGTTCGTCTTTTATAGCAAGTTCACCAGTCTAATGCAAAGAGCAGCTGTGGATAAGGCTGTCATGTGCCTGTGATTTGTTCGCTCGTCGCAAGAACAACGTTTTGTTAAGCTTAATAACCTAATTTTCGATAAGTCAAAAGAACTACCCCGTACTCTGTAGGCTAGTAACTCTCGAACGGTTAAAGGCCGGTGGGTCACTCCATACTGTTGGCGGATCGAGAACAGGCAGTTATGGAGAAGTAATATTGATTGAAACTAGAAACTGGAGAACTAGGGAGAAAAGAGAAGAGAGAGAGAACTATAGAGAGAGATGTAGCTATGGAGACATGGAGTGGGGCAGATATGCAAACATATAAACATCAACCACTAGCCTAACAAAATAGGCAGCCGTATAGGTCATATGACTAGAGGCTCTAATACCCCCCCTTAGGGTAGTAATCCTCCTTAGATAAAATAGGTACTCTTCCCTACCCCCCCGTAGAGAATAATAAAACAATTACTTCTTCTTTAAAGATTTAGAATCCTTCTCCGTACGCTCCGTACGCGCCTTCGCGTAGTACTAGATATTAGAGAACGGCTCCTATCCTTTAGAAATAAAATCTTTAAGTAGATAGAAATAAGTCTTAGTAGGATAGCCCTCGGTACTATAGTAAGTATATTTAGTACTATTAATATATTATAGCTATTAATTATATTAATACTTAACCTAATTATTAATATTCTAACCTTTCGAAGGTACTCTATATAGCTACTCTTTAGGTTCCTCTTCGACTTTTTTATTATTATCTTCTTTATTATCTTTTTTATTAAATAGCTTCCGGTAATCGTTTCTATATCTAATATAGCCTTTATAACCGCGTTATTTATATCTACTATAAGAAGAAGAACTATAAGATTAAGATATCTTAGCTATCGAAATCGTTTCGTCCGCTTTTATAATCGAGTTCGCTTTAATCGCGAGTTCTTTATAATATTTATTAAAGTTATTTATTATAATTTCTATAAGAATTTAATATTTTAAAGTATCGAGAGTAAAGTTTACGCTTAGAAGTTCGCTATAAAGTATATTAAGAATAATATAGAATATTATAAAAGAATATAGCGCTACTCTATAATATCCGAGAATATTAAACTAACTCTAATATACTATAACGTAATCTTTTACTATAGAGAAGTTATTATATTTTAACTTAGCGAATTTTAAAGCTTTTAAATTAATATTTATAACTTTATTATTACCGCTTATAATCTAGGTAATTTCTTTTATTAAGTCGTCGGTATATTCCGGGAATTATTAAATCGAGCCTTTAAGAGTTATAGTAATCTTATTATTAATCTTTAAGGAAATCTAGCTAAGAATAGATACCGACTAGTAGAACTAAGTATTATATATTAAGTCGTCTTCCGCCGGCTTCGGAATATTAAAATTTACTATATTCTCGATTCGAATTATCTATAAACTATTTATAATTTTATACTTCCAGTATATAAAGTTTAATCTATTAACCTTTAAAATATATATCTTCGGGTATTATATATTAGTAACCGCTTTTAAGCGAGTTCTTTAGGTAATAAGAAGTCCCGGAGTCGGTTAGGTAGATCGGTCCGGTATAGATAGCTATTAGGAGCTCTTACCTTATAAACTAGAGTTTGACTTATTAGTTATTTTAATAAATTAGGTTGCTTTAAGCGAATAGTCGCGAGTAGAATAAAGAGAAGTTTCGAAGACGTTAACGGTCGCTACTAACGAATAATCGTAAGCGAGAAAAGTAAGGTTTTCGAAGAACTAGGGGTTACTTCTAGCGGATAAATCGCGAGTAAGATTAAGAACAAAGTAGGTTACTCTAAGCGAATAATCGCGAGCAAAATAAAGAATAAAGTAGGTCGCTTTAAGCGGATAAATCGCGAGCGAGATAAATAAGACAAATAGGGTTGCTACTAGCGAATAATCGCGAGTAAAGTATAGGGTAAAAGTAGGTCCGTAAAAACTCTATAGATCAATCACGTAATATCGTCATATAAATAACGTTACTAAAACAAAGATACTAGTCTCACCACTTCGAGAACTGATAGAGTCTTAGTAAGAAGAACAAAGGGCTCAGAACCTATTAGCGGATCGAGAATAGGCAGTTATGGAGAAGTAATATTGATTGAAACTGGAAACTGGAGAACTGGGGAGAAAAGAGAAGAGAGAGAGAACTATAGAGAGAGATGTAGCTATGGAGACATGGAGTGGGGCAGATATGCAAACATGCAAACATCAACCACTAGCCTGACAAAACAGGCAGCCGTACAGGTCACATGACCAGAGGCTCCAACACATACACTATGAGAATCTATAAAATTATATATTTTGGAAGAGATTTAGTTTGTCAGTTTACATTCAATCGCACGTATTTCTTGATTGAGGAGGCCGAGTATTGAAAAAATGGTGTGTGTTTCAGCAGCACGCTTTGGGAAAATTCGTGAAGAACCTTGGAAAAATATCAAGCTTTGTGGGTCACAAGGTTTGCCACGTGCCACTTGCTGACCCAGCTAGCAAACAATGCAAACGTACATTCTTAGGTGAATGTGATTGCCTAAATAGGAAGGTAGTGTGTATTGGTATAAATATTAATAAAATACCGTGTGACTATCTTTATAACTCATCTAAAATATGTATCCAGCTCGTAGATCACCATGCACTCCGATTGACCTGAGTCCTCAGCATAACCGTCCATGATGTGGTGAACTTTGCCTCCGCTAGTAGGTGGAGTGTCCAACGGGGCAGATGAGGAACTGATAAAGGTAACTGTGCTGGGGTTTCAAATATGCCAGATGAAATGATTTTCTTCTCGATTCAAATCCGAACAAGGTGGGCTCTGGTTGGACGATGCCACGGGTATACGACTCCCGCTACACGCTTTGTATGCTATGCTATATAAGAGAAAGGATTTTGCTTGCCAAGTGTCCAGGTATATCGATATTTAAGGTCACACTCCGCAATAAATAAAATTGACATAATAAAACAAAATTCAAGAAGAACCATTCATACTAAGCCCAGGCATGGTTACTACCACCTTCAGGGCTCCATGCTTCGAAGATGCCTCGAATGCTTCGTAGGCGTTGTGAATATCGTCAAATTCGAAACTTGCCACCATGATCAGCATCAACAAGGGTAAATAATTCTATAATACGAACTGTGCGAGACCAAAAAATTAGGATCGATCCCACCAGCCTCCACCATTTTAAGCAGATCAGGGGTGCTAATAGCGTCAATAAGCCGAGTCCTCAAGCCTAGCGAAACGATAGTCAGTAATGGCCGGCGCAGGGAGGGTACATGAGAATTATACATATATTGCGGTTCCATAGCTTTTCCAAATGCAACTCGCACGACTCGCCAAAGACACCTAGAGAGGCAATAGTGCCCCCAGCGCCTACCAGCGCCTGTGCCGTCTCGAAAGACTCTGGGGTCCCCACCGCTTCAATAACCACATCGAACCCTCGCTCCTTGGTTACCGCTAGAGCTGAAGACATCACAGCATCATGTCCATCGAGCATACTGAACGTATGATCGGCGCCCATTGACTTGGCCGTCTCAAGTCTGGGAGCACCCCTCCCCACGACCGTCGTCATCGACGGACCGAACAGATTCCTCGCCATCTGGAGGATCATCAACCCAATCGGGCCAGTACCTATGATCGCCACAGTCGACCCAGGCTGAATCCCACCATTCAGAATCCCACATTCATAAGAAGTCGGGACCGTATCAGACAGGGTGACCGCGACTTTTTGATCGATGCTTTCCGGTAATCGATGTAGCGAGAACGGCGCATGAGGAATGCGGACATACTCGGCTTGGGTGCCGTCAATCTTATTTCCGAGAATCCAACCGCCGGACTCGCACTGAGAGGGCATCTTCTTGCGGCAGTAATGGCAGGTCCCGCAGCTGGTAATGCAGGAGATGATTACCATTTGGCCGACGGTCAAGTTCGTAACAGCGGCGCCGAGAGTCTCGATGATGCCGACTCCTTCATGGCCGATGATGCGATTTGGTGTGCATGATGGAACGTGGCCTTGTAGAATGTGCAGGTCTGTCCCGCATATCGTAGTATGCAGTACCCTAACGATAGCATCGGTGGGCTCCGAAATGACGGGTTTTGCACGATATTCGATTACAATCTTGTTGTCGCCAGTATAGATAACGGCTTTCATATTTGCGAACTCTTTGAACACGACTTGGCTAGGAGATGTTCAAGGGCTCTGGGGAGATCCCGGATGTCGAACAGTAAGTGAAGACAAAAAAAAAAAAAAAAAAAAAAGGAACAGAAAACGAATTAAAACGAATGACCTTGCTGGGCTCCATTTATAGACGCTTCACCGTCGGCTAAAAGCAAACAAGCAAGGTAAGCACACTCTAGCGGCATACTTAAATAAGTGAGCAAAGGTGACTGGTGAGTAGGGACTAGCTAGTTGGTGTCACGGGCATTGTAACCGATAGTCAGGCGAGCGATGCCTGACGAGGGGTAACGATAGGAAGGTGAGAAATATGTATCAGAGACCACAGATCCATATGCAGTTTACTGGCTTATAATGGGTGTTGATAGCCGATGGGCTTTGTGGAATGAACATTGGATGATTCTGTGGGATAGAAGGCTCAGACTCAGCGCTCAAAATCTAAGTTATTGTAGTGAGGATTCAGCTTGCTGATTTAGTGCATCATTGAAGAAAATGGTTGTTTGAGATTCTATTCAAGCAATGTTCTGGGTCTGACGGCCCCGGGGGAATTGTATACTTTGTCAAGCGCCAAGGCCATGCTGTATAGCACCTGCGCCTCGATTGACAGTCCGGGCACGCCGGAGGGTAAAGGTACGCTTTTACCATTCCCCATCTGCCTTTTGATATATTTAAGTGACTAAAAGAAACATTACTATAGTACCCCTAATTCAGTTAACTTGACTCTAGGGCATTCCCTCGAACTGTATCTTAGTCGATTAGGCGTCCTAACCTAGTTCTTTAGCTAGTAGTAAGGATATCCAGACCTGCCGAAGTGAAACCTTACCAATACCTTGATACTGACTCGCTTGGAATAACCGTTTTCGTTCGTATGTAAGCCAGTATTCTGCCCCTCGTGTGATATATTACGATGTTCGCACCTTTATCAACCCGATCCATGCGCGAGACGGTTTCCCACGCCGCTCTCAGACGAGGCACTGTGATAGGGGGTTGGCTCAGATTTAGTTGTAGAGGGCTCTACTAGATAAAAATTGATAAAAATACCAGCGAAGGTGATAGGTCAGGATGTCTCTATGAGATTAAAAGCGGAAATTGAATTCTCTTCTCTTGAGACTATATGCTATCAGGGACTTCCCAACGATAGAAAACAAAAACAAAAACATACAATAGTGAGGCTCAAAGTTCACCGTCAGTGTGTTTGGAACAAGCTCAGGGATCAATCAGCATGTATTTAGAAACTAGTTGTTGCCTGCATATCGCCGTTGAGGCGAGGGGTCAGGGAAATGAAATCATCCATCCATACTGTACAAACAGCCCACATCGCTGGAAACAATCGACGCCTAGTCATCGACCTTAGCCCGTAGAGTCCAATGCCCCCAACAATTTGTGCCTTGTCGGTGGACGAGAAGTTTAATTCATAACCCCTCAAGGTGTGCTGTGTAAATCTCCGTGTCTAAGACATGGCATCATTTATTATATTGTGCTTTGTGAATAGACGGGAAATGTGTTGAATAGGTGAGAAATAAAGCCTTTGCATTTGCATAACAGTACAGGAAAACCTGAATCAGGGAAAACCTTTACCAAGGCAGAAACCAACGACCAGCAAACAAGTGAAAATTCTATCGGCAGAGCCCGTATTACATCCAGAATCCGGTATTAAGCCAGAGATTGATAGCCCAAACCGTATGACACATCTAAGGATATATGCATTCTCCTGGCTAATTTCGAAGCCTAGTATCCAACTAGATCGCGCAATTAGTAGACCGTATAGCCTTTTGGTAAGATTGACTCACGTTCACAATAGTCATTCTCACCGCTGCCCCCGGTCTCGTGGCAGCCTTCATAGCAATATTCAGTGAATTCGAGCTGATTGTTTCGAAGGCACAGGTACGTAGAGCTTTTCCATCCACCGTTAGGTGGTGGGTAGGGATCGACGTTGGGGCCATGGTGGGCGTTCTGAAGGTCACTCTCGGTATAGCCTGATACATATTGGGATTAATAAGGGGCCGTAGAGAGAAGGAAATCGATTCTACCACAGGGCTTACCGTCAGTGGAAACAAGCCAGCTACCACAATACCTCTGACCATAATGGCACTTTCCTAGTGCAAGGGCGCTAGGAGTAAGTGCAACCAAGGCGACCAAGGCAATAGCGGTCTTCATTTTCGCTTCGGGTGCGATAAAGTAGTAGTGGATGAAGGAGAGATGAGGTCGACTCAATTAACAAGTGTGTGTATTGTTGAGATCTTGTTAGAACTAATCACGAGGTGAAAGAAAGCCTTTTATATCTGATATTCAGCATGTCTCGAACTCAGTGTTGTCAATTAAATTCTTCACTAGTGCCCTCAAATAATGCTGTGAAACCCTCAGGATTCCAAAAATTGATGGTAACGCCGAAATCTTGGATACTGTTATAAAAAAATATATTTTCCTCGTAGCAATTAATATGATGTACTCGGCATTCTTGGAGTTCAGAAATGCGTCTTAAGGACAATGTCACCATACAGCATTCCGCTCCCCAGTACGCTCCCACTGAGCAACAGCCCTCGCCAGACTATTGGGATTGCCGTCTTCTCGTGGTATCTGGTGTTAATCCCCCTTGGGGAGACCAAATTGATACCACCGTGCTTGTGCGGTCCGGCCCGGTGCGGTTGATGTGGGGCACGACCACATAACCTCACCAAAATTAAGGGATAATGAGATACTGTATGGAAACCATTTGATTTTTTTTTTACCTGACTCGCACTTGAGCCCAGAAACTGCTCTTGCTTTACCAGTGGAAGTAGGCTGCCGCACGTCCGCAAGAATCTGCGGATTTTGTACGCTGCAGAGCTACGTGCAATAGAGAGGACTCTCGAGTTAGTTTTTAACAGTACCGGACCCTGGATTAGACGGGCAAAGAACGTCCTCGACATCCTTATAGACAATGCACACAGCGCTGCAAGGGCCGGGATCATGAGCGTCTATAAGGAGGTTGAAGGCATGACACAAAGGCCCCTCGAAGGACTTCTGATTTCTATATATTCTTAGGAGCAGGACTTGGCTTCTTCGAGGTCCTAACCCGAATACTAGTCTCTGACACCGCGAAGGGGTGTTTACATGTCGCCAGAGGATTAGGACGGGCACTGCGGCGCCACGGGTTGCCTCAACGAGCACAAATTTGATAACGCAGGGCTCAAGGCTGCATGGAAGGTCAAGATTATACAATTGCAGGGCTCATTACTGCAAGGGAGAACCTAGTGGCGCAGCACCCTCCTGCGGAGTTCAATTAGTAATCGTATTATTTCGTATATAGTTAATTGTACTGTTCGTACTACGATAGCCGAGCCATCTTTTCATACTGTAAGACCCTATAGAATCATGTAGTCGTGCCTAGATCAACACCGGTGACAAATATCGCCCTCCAAAGACCGCAAGTGCTCTGCCGCGCCTTCAAAAGAAACACAGGAGATCACCCGAAAATAACGCTACCGTTACATTGAGGTGATACATATTCGTGCCAAAGCAGCGAGGGCGCGATGTTTAGCTCTCGAGCTTGAAAGCTATTCAACTAGTGTGCCCTACCTGATGCAAGGCGCCTTCCCAAAATTCATGAAAATCCAGTCAACATGGACATGGAACGCGGATCACTGCCGATGTCAGAAATACCAGCCCTCAACGACATCAAGTCATGCAGATTTCTCGTGTTTCCATTCCCCCTCGGCTCTAGTCGTGGTGTTCATTTTCGGGAAGCACCTAATTGCCTTGCGCGACGGCCAATGGCGATGCCGGGAACTGTGATTACGGGTGATTTACGAGAGATACATCGAGAAACGATGGGAACTTTGGCTGACCATATTCGGTTTAGCACGATCTGAACAGGGCGCTGGGAAAGGAAGCGCGTGTCCAAGGGGTAATTTGTTTTTGAATTCTACTGTGCTGTACCAGCATGTTGGGAAATGTCTCTAGAGCGAGCTTACTTGTTTTTTTTTTGTAGGCAGTATGATCGCCGAAAGAATTACAGTTCATTTCGGACTCATGCAAAGGGTTAAATGTAGCATACCAGTGTAGATTGTTCTCTGGTCACAGTATATAAATCTAAGCTAAATGAATATTTTCGTTGCAAGTGACTTCTTTGCGTCGTTTCACCCAAAGGCCGATGTCGCGAACGAACCGCTTGACAGCACCTACTTCCACGCCGTGCTTAACGAAGAAACCTGGGTCTTGATCCTCATAAATCTGCATAAGGTCGGGACAATTTTCGAGGGTCACATCGCGTGCTTTGTTGATGTTCTCCCTGAAAGCCTCGTTGCTCACCCGCGATTGCTGCTATTCAGTATACTCGTCCACAGCGACATCTAGCAGGCCGTCGATCATGATTGGTTTAATACAGCCGGGCCCGATGGGCATAGTATCATTAGAAGGAGGCTGTATCAATCGTTGAGATGATCTAGAAGGAGGACATTGATATTGATTGGAGGATACACTGAACCTCTTGTAGAGTTCTCTGTAGCTTTCTTTTATTTTTGTCTAGTCGCTGGTTCTCCTCGACATAGAGCTGCTCTCGAACTCTACCTATTAGGGACATCGGCATAACACGATATATATCGTACTAGATGGAATATTGGCCATAGACCTACTCGGCGTTAATCTGAGCGTCTTGATTAGCGAGCGTCCGTGTAGTCACCGATGACTTTTCTTACTTCTCCGTTCTAGAAGGAAGAGGCCCACTGTCTTCTATGTAGTTGATCGATAACTATAGCCGGATCTTCTTGCCACGACGGAATAGATAGGCCTACGCTAGTAGCTGTTTCTTCACCACTATCCAATCAATACTAGTACCTTCAAAGTGTTTATTGATGTTCCGTTGGGAATTTACCGAAAATACTACGCTAGTATCATCTATAGTAGTCTTACCCGTCGGCCATGGGCTGTCTTTCGTCCTAGAATATTATAAGTATCTATCCTCTTTTATCTATTCCCAGTAAGATCTAGGTGGTTAAATAAGGTCTTGTTTTGTAGCCTTGATTGTAACTCGATTGTTCAATTTAACTATCTACCTGATCTAGTAGTGTGTGAAGACCCACTATGAAGGGTCTTCAGGGGGGGTAAGATCAGAGTGCCAAGGGCATATACAATACGAATTACTACTGCGAAGCAATTGCAACTAGCACTGCGTATGTATTCAAACTGAACTATGAACCTTTGTCCATAGTTCCAAATCCACTAGTTACGCAATGTGCGCAACCTAGGCGAGATCATGTGTATTGGACCCATATATCTCGCAGGCCATTGATATGTCTGCGCAGGTCCCCGAAGACCTTCGAAGGTCCACCTTGGAGGTCTCCTTTCGGGTCCAGGCGGGTTCTGCACCTTGCTTTGCATGGTGCAGGACGTGACACTAATATACTTTTATTTTTATTAGTAGCGAGCTCCTAAAAGGATAATTATTACCTCTTATATTAAGAACGTCGTCTTTAGCTTCCTTAAGAAGGGATTAAGAAGTTTCTCGCTCCTACTTCGATATAAAGCTAGTAAAGCAATTATAAGCTAACTATTAAGACGGAACCTTTTTATATAATTTAATATAAAACTCTACGAAAAGTTTTAAAAGTTTAGGAGTCGGAATAGGTAGGTTAGGAAAATTCGGGTCTATAGACTCGTTACGGGAAATCCTCTATCTACTAATAATTAGGAACTAAAATCGGTAAAATCCGAGCGAAGCTTATAGTACCTAATTATTAACTAACTATACGGTTATATTTTTCTAGTATAGTAGGCGCTAGCTTAGGGTAGTATATAGTATTACCCTTCTTTTCCTTCTCGTCTTAATAGTTACGTATAAAGCTATGTGATATCGTACGTACGAGACGCTCCTAGAGTACTTTTGGGATATTTTATTCGGAGAATATATTTTAGCTAGTAAAGAGATTTAAAGAAAATCATAGTAGAGTAAGAGAAGCGCCTCGGGGCTTAACTATTTATATTTTTTTAGGACTAACATTGGTTTAGAGTAAGTTGGCCCCTATTACCTTAAGGGTAAGAATTGTCACCCCGTTCTCACCTCTCTTACCCCGTTCTTACCTCTCTCACCCTAGTCTTAAGACTTCTCATATATATCACCCGCACTCACCCTAGAGTGCCGCTTAGGTGCTGAGGGCACATTAAGTATTGGCCGTGCAGAATATGTGGCTTGAGTACGGCTGAGCGGACGGGAAGCCCTATTTTCCACACCCTAGGGTCATATGTACTTGTTTGAACTATAAAGGGGCATATGTAGTTTAGTATAACCGAGAGTAGAAACGGCCCGGACCGCAATAACGTATTTCACTATCGAGCTGGCCACCCCGGAACACCATAGTTAAGGCGATAAATTACAGTCCTATCTCCCAACAATAGTGGATTATATATATTTCATATTAAAGGGTCATGTTCAAGGTATATGGTATAGCCCTTCGACAAGTTTAAGGGAATTTTTATAATAGGGTATTCAAGATATATATATCTACAGCTAAAATAACTCAATTACAGCGTAATCTATAGTATTATCATTATCCGACATTTTGTTTTGGTTGAAACTTATGGAGATAGATAACTAGTAGGAAATGTTATGGTGGTGTCACCTGACCCTGTCTCCTCTCCCTCTTCTTCTTTTCCCCTTCTCTCTTAGCAGTAGCAACCAATACAATTGCTCTCTCTCTTCTCCTAGCTTCACATCAGGAAATGCTTATCGATATATATATATATATATATAATTAATTAATCAAATTGAGGTTATGGTTGTTACGATATAAGCTTGTCAAAAACAGCCTTTCACTATGGTGTTCCGGGGTGGCCAGCTCGGTAGTGAAATACGTTAGAGGGAGAGGAGGGCCCTATGAGTGAGTTTCAAGGGAATATCTGTCGGAAATAGACTCAATATAATAACAAAAATAAAAAAACATACAACAGTGAGGATTCGCTGGTGGTCACCCACCCAACTACTAACTCACCGGCGTGTGGCTTAAGTACGGCTGAGCGGACGGGAAGCCCTGTTTTCCACACCCTGTGGTCGTATGTATCATGTTGTGTGTCGAAGAGGATTATAATGTTGAGGATCGGAAGTGGTTGGGTTGTGGAAGGGTGAGCGTCGACTACAAGATAAGGGGTGAAACCCGCAACAGCCAGGAAGGAGAGAGAGATAGCACCAATCACGGACTCTCATATTGGAACAACGATCATCCGAAACTTAATTAGAGGATTCATCGAATGCGATAAACAAAACAGTTCAGTGCCATCACCTCTACTGTATTTACATTTCCTACGCTGTACGGATCAGTTGCAGTTGAGTATCTCCAAACAACGGAGAACAAAAACTTGAAGTGAATCGTGGAGACCGTCCCAGAAAGCCAGAGGTCTTAACCATGAAGAACTTTATCGGTGCCGCACTGGTGGCAGCTGTTACAGCTACAGCGACTAGCACTTCTGCTCCGACATCGGCCCCAACTGGATCTAGCTATGCATCTGGTTTTGACATGACCAAAAGCTGGGCCAATCTTAGCCCCTATAAGGACGCAGATAGCTTCGGCATTCCTAGTGGTGTGCCGCAAGGATGTGAACTGTCTCAGGTGCATGTTCTGCATCGCCATGCGCAGCGATTCCCCACGGATTACCCGCTGGATGGCGAGGGAATGACCGACTTTGCCGCCAAATTGACCAATTACAGCAAGGCTAACCCAGACAAGACCGTGGCTGTGGGTCCTTTGAAGTTCCTGAACAACTGGGACTATGTTCTTGGCGAGGATACTCTTATGGAGAATGGTGCTGCCACTGAGGCTACATCCGGTGCCAACTTTTGGATCAAGTACGGAAGACTGCTGTACCGTGCCGGACGTGAGAATGTCGCTGCTTGGAGCTCATCTCTTAACGTTTACGCCAACGGCACAAACCGCCCGACGCCGGTGTTTCGCACTACATCCCAGGCACGTATTTTGGAAAGCGCACGTTGGTGGCTCAGTGAGTGGAACTATCATGTCATTCATCAGACCCGAATAACCAGTTAATCTTCGACTAGGCGGCTTCTTTGGCAACAGTGGAGGCAACAGCTCTTATGACCAGTATAATCTTGTCGTGATACCCGAGCAGGCTGATTTCAACAACACTCTCGCTTCGTATGAAACATGCACATTTGATTATTCGGAAGGGTGAGCGAAAATTCCTCTAACAACGAATACTTAATCATGAAACCATACTAACGAAAAGCACAGCGACAAAGCCGCTGAGATCTTCATTCCTCGATACACAAAGAATGCTCGCACCCGTCTGTCCTCTTACTTCCCTTCCGACTTCAACCTGACCAGCATGGACGTCCTTGCCATGCAAAACCTCTGTGTATACGAGTACACCAGTCTCGGCGGCTCATCATTCTGCTCTCTTTTCACCGAGCAAGAGTGGAAGGACTTCGAGTACAACATCGACGTGCAGTACTATGGAGACTACGCCTACGGCTCGCCCAGTGGTCGCGCCCAGGGCATCGGCTACGTTCTAGAGCTCGCCGCTCGCCTCGAGCAAAAGCTCATCAACTCAAGCGATACAAGCATTAACTACACCTACACTAATAACGAAGCCCAGTTTCCATTTGGCCAGCCCTTCTATATGGACATGTCCCACGATGATATCATCTTGTCCGTGATCAATGCCCTTGGTTTCGACTACTTCAAGTACGGTCCCAAGGGATTACCCGTTCACCTTGACCATGCGCCTGAGCGCAACTTCTCTCTCAGCCAGATGACACCCTTTGGTGCCCGATTCATTTCCGAGATCTGGAATTGCCCTTGTGATGTCTCATTCGATGATTTGGACCCTGTTCTTTACACCAACCCCACCATCAAGTCGACTGCCAAATCCACGGAGTACATTCGTTTTGTGCTGAACAATGCCCCTCTCCCACAAGATGGACTGATCGGTTGCGAGAATTCCAGCAATGGTTTCTGCCACCTCGATAAGTTCTTGCATGGGGTGCCCGCTCTGAAGGAAAAGGCGCAGTTCCAGAAGGCATGCTTTGGTAACTATACCACCGGAAGTCAGGTCGGGGACGGTGCTCCTGAATCTTAGATCGAACTAAGAGAGCGATCTTTACATACGTCCTTCTTAACATGCTCATCTACATATATCGTTGCGCCATACTAGATGGACGTCGAGGCCTGAGGCCTGATGTCTCGAATGCCAACCCTTCCTCAGTTCTGTATATAGTTAGTGGGTTAGGAGTTCCCTGTTTGTTGAGAGAGAACCCTAGGGTTCAGCCACCACCTCAGTATTGGTGACTTAGTTAGCTTCCAGAGGTAGTTTCTTCCCATAATCATGCACATATCACTGGGTTTTTCCATCCCCTCGCCTCATTAGTATATAGCATGTTACTTGTGGGAGTGTTGGCTTATTGCAGTCGCTGTTTGTATGTATGATATATAAAACATCAGGATGGTTAATATTAAGGCAACCGCACCCCCAGTTCTGCATACACAATCTATCGACCGACGTACTTGAGCTCCAAGTATCTTGCCGGTAGATAAGCCAAAGCAGTCACAACGAATGTAAACTCGTTGGCAATATCACCACCGGCATCTCCGATCGTCGCAGCAAGGGGACCGATAAACCAAGTCTCATCCATGCCCAAGCACCACGCCACAACCCCAAGAGAGAATGCCACACTCGCGCCAATTCCCAGCGGAAGCTTAGCCGGATCGTTCCATCCTTCGAGATCATAGTTGTCAAAGTTACCCTTGCGGAAAATATAGTGTTCCTGGAACAGGATAATAGCATAACTTGTGCACCAGTATCCCAGAAGACTCAGGAAATTCTGCAGGTATTCATTCAGCTTTTGCCGACCACCAATTGACAAGCCGAGGATACAGGCGAAGCAGAACAATGTCCAGAGAGACCGAGGAATGCGAGCGAAGGGCCGGGCAAGTTGCTGGAAGGAGATGGCGGAACTATAAATACTGATCACGTTGACGTTGATACCAGACAAGACAAGAAGAGTAAGGAGGAACTTGGCGAATCCGCGAGGATGAAGCATCTCTTGAATGAGATAGCCGATTCCTTGGTCGTATGCGGCAGACCATTCGGGCTTGGTGTTTAAAGCAGACGCGACCATGCAGCCAGCGACCATGCCGATCGAGGTGGGAATCGAGATACCGAAGGTTGTCATGAGGAAAACCTTCAAACGACTCGTGTTGGCAGGATAGTGGACATAGTAGTCACTAGCCATTGTGCACCACGAGGCACTGGACCCGTAAACAACGGCCATTAGACTAAGAACGGCACCGGAGAAAGAGGAACCAGTTACGGTAGCTGGAGCCGCATTATCTGCATATTCACCGGTCTCGCCGTAGATAATCAGGAAAATAACCAAGAACACCATCCAGGCCCATCTCTCGTAAATCAAAATTGCTTTCAACCCGACACAAGAAATGAACAGCGCTACGACAGCCAAGATAACAATTCCAAGAATCAAAGAGACATGGCCGTCGGAGACCGCCGTCAACGCAAGTCCCCCAGTGATACATGCGACGGCGGCCCATCCCATTTGCTGGATACCGTTCAGCAAGGCGACCAGCTTATTAGGCCACCAACCAAAGCTGTACCGACTAACACTGATTTGACGTAATCCAGTCACAGCGCCAAAGGTCGCACAGAACCCACTCAGCGATGCAGCCATGATGGAAACAAAGATGGTAATGAGAATCGATTGTTTCATAGTCAGGCCGAATTCCCAGCCGAGGAAGCCAGTCGCAAAGCAGGAGGTGTTCATCGTACCACTTGCCCACAGAGCCGCCATTGATATCTCCTCCACCCAATGGACCTCTCTTTTATCTTCAGCACGCTTGCGCTCAATGGCATCGGACTCTATACCGAGTTTCTTATCCAGCTTAGCCTCCAGGGCGCGGATACTAGCTAGGATACCGGTCTCGTGAGAAGCAGCATCGTTGACTGAAATCACCTCGGGTGAACCATGTTTTTCAGTTGGCTGCTGGACTGTTGCCAGGCCTTTTTCCGGATCGTACACCATGGTTCCTGGTGGATTGCGAAGTAGCGCTGGGAAAACAAGGGGTGACACTCCGTACCTGTGGAATCGCTGGATTTTTTAAGGCTGTGGGGAAAAGATAAGCCTTGTATGGGAGAATACCTAGGTATTTCCCAGCTCCACCCGGCGCTGTTTCCTAATTTATTCCAAAGTTGGTTAGGGGGACCGTTACAGTGGCCCAATGTAACTGGATACTTCTCCTTTAGGCTGTTTCCTATCAACACACGCCACACGGGCCCCTTGGTTATTTGGTGGCAACCGACGGATTCCGCTTATCGAAAGATGTAACTAGAATCGTAGGATTTCGGGGTATATCTATATGCTATCTTACGCAGCATGAAAAGTATCTTCATGGCTAAGTTAAAAAACAAAACCTTATAGTTAATTATATAGTTACCACTTATTAATAAACGGACATGATGGTGTATGACAATATCCATGAACGGGTGAGAAGGGGATCATGAGTTTTTTTTTTACTATAGAACCTCCTTGGAATTCTGAGGATACTGGTTTTTGAAGGGATCGTAGCATATTAACCGTGCTATTGGCTCTATCTAATAGAGAGCTACGTATTATCTCATAAAGCTTTACTTATACTCCCGATTTTTCTAGTTGGTCGGAACTCCCCTACAGTTCTCATTCGTCCCCTTGTCAATGATAAGCCTTGCCCAGAACCTTGGCTCGGCTAAGCTAATCTTACCCGCTCTCCAGGGCATCCACGTGGAGCCACGTGCGTGATACATTGCCCTCTCCAGAAGTCAACGCCGGTGAGATATTTTATCACCCGCACTCACTACTCACTATATAAATATCACTCGTATCTACATGATTCTATAAAAACATAAAGGCGGCCGTAAACATCGCTGCGGCCAATGCTATGAAGCCCTACGCACCGGCCGATTTCTTAGTCAACAGTCCGCTGGCAGCTCCGGTGTGGTTTGCTGGCCCATTGACTGAAGTTGGGACATCCCCTAATCCAAGTGGCAGACCCTGGTGTAGACCTCTCAATAGCCCACAAATGGGCGGGCTTAGTCTTCAAAGCCCAGCCCAACCCACAGCCCATTAATGGGCGCCCATCAAAGCCCATCAAAAGCCCATTTCTATACATAAATGCAGTTTTAGTACGTATAAAGTAGCTGATTAATAGTAGTATCGCATGTACCAACCTATATATTCAGTTTCATCATATTATCAGAGTAAGAAGTAGGAATTTGGTAGATATTATACTGATTTTAGTATACTAATGACAGATTTCAAACAAAATTATTTCAAGCAAAAAATCAATCATACAATTGGTTATTGGTATGCGTTTCAAAGTATGGTCTTCCTCCTTGATTCGGCCATTCATGCCTTGTACTCGGGTGGTGGAGCCGAAGAGATCGGTGCTATCGGTAGTGATATGCCCTTTGACTGCGTAGCTGCGTGGTTACGCAACATCATTCTGGTCTTTGGGTTATTGGAGTAATACTCGGTATTATGGCCGTCCTTGTCTTTTGCATCAACTGAAGCACCATGCTCAAGTAGAAGCTTGATAATCTCAGTAGCCCCAGTGACGTATCCCATGTTCTCGGCGGAGATCGCCACATGAAGGGCCCGACGTCCTTGTTTGTCTTTCAACTCAATATCCGTGCCGTGATTCAAAAATACTCGAACCATATCTCAATCTTTCCTCCCCTGACAACCCTGTGGAAAAGCAGCTCCTTGTGGCGATCGCAAGTCTTACTCATTTCTGGATAACTGCGTAAAAAGACTTCGACGGTTCGTTCATGACCTTTCTCAACTGCGTATGCGAACGGCGTGTTTCCCACGTAATCCTTTGAGTAGACTTCCAAACTGGGTCCAGTCATCCGGTCCCATAACGATCGAGTCAAAGCCTTGTCATGATTTAGGAGAAGCTCGCAGACGACATGATGTCCCTTTGCAGCTGCCAAGTGAAGCGCTGTTTCTTCACCATTGCTGCCTAGGGTGGGAGTATTGCAATCCAGAAAGAGTTGAACTATTTCCGTATAGCCCAGGGCTGCAGCAATACGAAGGAGTCTATATGTTTCTCTTTCTTTTGTCTCACTTATAAGAGGATCACACTCAAGGAGCAAGCGAACAATCTCTTGGTGACCTGCTTTGACCGCGAGGCGGAGTGGAGTTGCGCGGTTGCCATCCTCGATCCGAGGTGATGCATTCTTCTCGAGAAGAAGGCGGGCGATATGCCAATGACCCCCTTTTGCTGCATTATGAAGCGGTGAAGTTCCGATCTCGTCCACGGTATTCGGGTCTGCGCCGCCCTCTAAGAGCGCCGTTACAAGGTCGAGTCGGCCATGATCGGCCGCAACAATGATGTTTTCAGAAGTTTGGGGTTCTTTGCTTTTCGATTTTTCGGCCATTTTGACACACACAGCCTGATGTCAGAAACGAAGTTGGAATGTCTAATCTCATCATACCGGGGTTTGCGGCGTTTTTAGCGTGCCGAAGTCGACTTAGCCCATTCTAGTACAAATAAGCGAAACCATCGATCTCGGCGAAGTACGGAGTATAGGGCGGATATTTGGGTGAGCCGTGTATAAACCCAGTGATAATCGGCCGGCTACCAGACTGGGAAGTATAAATTGTTTTTAGGCAGCAGTGGCCTTCATATTCTTCTCCTTCGTTTAAGCCGAATTTTGATATAGAATAGATGCAATAAAGATGCCGAGGTAAAAGTTGCCAAGCGGCTGAGGATTTCAGATGGGCAAGGCGATCCAATCATAATGCATCAAAGTTCAGCTGAGCGGGTCAGTGCAGCCGTCCTATTTAGGTATACATATCGCACTCTTATCCCCGTAACCTATGTCAAACCAGCGCCACGAGTCTAGGAGTCTCAAGTGGCCGGTAGTTTTACATTGCATTAACAATTGCACACTGTGTTCCAGCAAAGCCCTCTATACCGACGTGACTCTCTCCGGGCAGGGCAGTTAGGAGCAAATAGTCAACATTTCTATATGCCGTGACCCGAAACCGGAGGCTGCCTAGCTATGTTCGGTCAAGCCCTTTCCTTTTTCCTCTTCTCTCTCTCAATAAGCACCATTTACCACAGAAGTTTCAAGATTTCGTACCAATTCTTTACCATGATTGGGGTGTCATCGTCCACCTCAACTCCATGTCCCATTAGCAGGCCCGAAATACCCGACGTCTGGCATCGACATGTACGGTACACCCTGGGCATCAGCAGTATTCAGGTACACATTATTTCCCCACCAGTCAGGGAAAGTGGCACCAGGGTATGATATGCAAAAGAAAATAACAATGCCACTGATGGCAAGACCTGTATCAAGTGCAGCTGCCAAGATATAATTGTACTTGGTCCACCAAGCAAAGAAATTGTGCTTAATGAAGTAATTAAAGGCAAAGTTGACCAGCGCCCAGCTGGAATAGTTGATTCCGGTGGCTAAAAGGCTTCGAGTTAGCGACTGAAAAGGAAAGGAGAAGCACTCGCAGGTTGCGGGACATACCAGGTGGGACGTTATAAGTTCCGACAAAAATGAGTGGCCAGTTGATATACTTCCAAAACTGGCGTCTAGTATAACGGTAGAGGAGGAAGGTCACAACCGGAGCGATAGCACCGATCCAGAAGAAATGTAGCAAAGGGGAATAGATCTTGCCCACGGAGTAGAGCCGGCGAGGCCCAACAAGACCCCAAATAACAGACGAAGAATAAACAGTCCGACCATTCGGACAAGTAAACCCATCCGCCTGATCAGACTCGCAAATCCCCGAAATATTACCAAGCATCCAAAGTGTAACACCCGCCTGGGTGAGTGCGCCCAGGATAGTGGCTACGAACTGTGCCACGAAGCAGGTACGTGGCGGCACTTTCAGATAGTGAGCCAATTTCATATCCATAGCGAAGTAAACACCCTGTCCCACCACATCCGTGGAAATGATCTTGAAAATCATGTTCGCGAGGGGCTTTCCTTCGAACAGATATCCACCAATGAACTCAGCCAGAACATTCAGCTGATTCGCATCCACGTTCGTAATGCCCTGCACGATACCGCAGGGAACCATGTATACAACTGGTATGATCAAGGCTAGAAAGACTCCGTAAACCGGGAGTTTAGTGTGGTAGACTTCGACTAGCGCAATGGCCATTGCCATTATAACCACGATTATCACAGCGTACCAGTACCAGGGCGTCCGGCGGTATGAGGCACGGATGAGCCGAGCGTGAATATCGAGCTTATTCCGGCCCTTAAGAGCAGCCCACAAATCACGGCTATGCCAGATGGCGATGTGAGAAAGCACTGAGGTTATGGCAGCAAATGAAAGTCCGTATACGAAGGCAAAGGTTGCGCTCAAGTATGGAGGCGAGTACGTTCGATAAGCCATCGTATCTAGGGTATTATCGGCAGCAATGACTCGAGCTGTATCGTAGGCGGCGCCCGTGTTATCGTACACGTCGGCTGTCATGAGTGGAAGATAAGCCGTGAACCAGGTATTGGTGTAGTAGAGGGCGGGTGTGACAATCCAGTAGAAAAACGCGAAGCCTGCGAAGACATTCAACGCAGCCCATGACGGTGATAAGAGCGGGTTGGTGTTGTAAGCGATCTGGCTCCAATCAAAGGTAATTGGACTCAGACCGAGACCTGTCTGCATACCGAAGAGATGGTTGACGATGACATTCTTTGGTGCGATCCAGCAGACCCAAGTGAAATAGGAGAGAGCGGTGAATATAAGTCCGGGGAAGAAGTACCAGACAAAGGCACCAGTCATAACGTACATGAAGAATCGGAGACGGGTTATGCGCCATCCATTTGCGACAGAGTTCGCTCGCGAATGCAGTGTTTCCAGCATGGCACAGTTGGATAATACACCTGGCCAGATGATGCGAGCAGGTTCAACGAGCCACGGAGCTGCGAGACCTGCGACGCCAAATCCAAGAAGTTGTGCAACGAGAACAATGAGCACATAAAACCCGGGTTTGAGATTGAAATTGTAAAAGTTTTTACTGGCGGCTTGGATAATGTTCGTCGCGTCCGCTGAAGCATATCCGAATGACACATTGCTCATAATAACGATAAGCGCGTGCTCTTTGATATTAAACGACCTGTCCGGGTTGACAACAAACGTGCCCAAAGGCCCAAGTCGAAGGGATGTGAGAGGGAGGGTCCTCGCCAGAAACACTCCGATCGGATAAGCAAGCAGCTCTGCTACTAGGGCCACAATATGAACCGATGGATAACGCAGCGAAAAGAACTGGTTAATACCGGATCCGAGCATAATAAAAACAATGCCTAGGAGCCACATCCGCACCGTATTGACCGGCATATCGGGGTCATCCGTCTCGGGGACGACAGCCCTAACTGTAGTAACTGTTAGTCTAACAATATATATATTCGCGGTGATATAGGCACACGCCTTCAGGGAATGGAGAGCGGTGCGATTCATAGCTGAACTCTTCATTCGTATTCTCCTCGTCCTTTTCCAGGTTTATTTGGTCTAAGCGGCCTTCGACTACCTCTTCATCCGCTCCGATGAGCGCGGGTTTGATGATGTCGGTATCTAATTCCTTAGAAGACATGGTATAGATCTTTGCGCAGTCTCAGCGCATTGCTTGGTGAAGGAAAAAATAATAATAATACACAGGTCAGACACGGACGAGGAGCCCTTTTCTAGGTCTGATTTAATTGGCCATGGCTCGAGTCCAACGCGCACTGGGGGAATACAGAGATAACGCATTCCGACGGCGGTTGATTTTCTAGTGGTCAATGTGGGCTCAGCTTAATTTAGCTTAAGATAGGTGGACTTCCCCCGATTTTGTGTTCAATATGGGTCTTTCCACTCTTGATTTGGGGATATATAGGGTGTAAGTCATCGCTGTATAAAGGTGTTTAAAGAACAGGACCCCTCCAAATTAAGCTGGGTTGTCGAATCTCGTTATCTTATGGAAGCCACGAGTGGTTAGTTAGCCTCTGTAAAAAAAGAATTCGAAAGATAGCGATGGCGAGTGATAAGAATGACCGGGGTTGAGTCCGGGGTGCTGAGACGGGTGTTTCGGAGGATTAATTCCTTATCTATGGTCTTTATTTCACAACCCAACTAGTTATCTGCATACTATATTGATTTTCCACACATAAAGTAATACTACATACGACCATACGGTGTGGAAAATAGGGCTTCCCGTCCGCTCAGCCGTACTCAAGCCACACTGATCTCCAGATTACCCGTCAAGAACAACTATCCCCAACCGTCCGGCAACCGTACTCATATCCACGCCCCGGAAAATCTGTGTGTCATCGGGAAATACCTCCAAGTAAGGGTCCGGATCACCGGACGCATCGAAGTCCACCATGTGGTAAAGCTGACGTCGAGAGAATCAAAAACGTCGCGTCCACGATTCTTGTGGACAACGAGACTGTGGAATGGGACTGCCAGGACTACGTGCTTGAGATCCTTGATAAGCTGGAGGATGTCTATGTTCTGGAGGAGGACGATGAAGATTATCGCGAAGCGCGAAGCGTTTTGAAAGGGAAAAGGGGTTCAATTGTTTGATAATTCCATTTTATGGAAGCTACTTTTCGAAATGCTTCGGCGACGGTTCATATAACCCTTGTTTCCCTGACTCGATCGAGAAGCCACCGCTGAGCGTAGAATTTTGGTGAGATACATTCTGGTAGAAATAAGTACCAGTCGTTTTCCTCATAAGGGCCGAGGCAGTTTGTGCACCGCACAGATTCATAGTAGTCAGGGTAGAAACCGCTATATTCCCAATCAAGTATTCCAGAAAGCATATACTTGTTGTTGTCGTCTAACTCAACCATGATATTGTCCGGCCTTATGTCTCCATGTGTGAAAACGATGCGAGGGCCCGAATGGTCTGGAGGCGATGATGATAATTGACTGAGGAACTCGACGAATACCTTGCCGCCTGGATGTGGACTCGAGAACAAGAATGTTTCGAAATCCTTAAGGCTAGTGATAGGTGTCTCGCTCACTCGAACATGTCTCCTGAGATCTCTACAGCCTTCACCTGCGACCCCTCCTAGAGGACTCCCTTCTGTAAAAGGAAGGGTTCTCAAATCTGCTAGTATTGTGTTGAGTTGGCTACTAAGGGAGTTTTTTTGACAAGAGTCGAGTGTGTGCCAGACTTCCCCAAGCGGCGTAGATCCCATATAGCTCATGAATATTAAAGAAATCCCACTCATACGTACTAAACCAAGAGGCTTTGGTACTAGAATATTTGACTTATGACGGTCAAGATATTGTAAAGCGGTATATTCAGTAAAGTACTCCATATTGCGAACAGCTTTAACAACGATTTCTGCGGAGCATTTGAATACTCCTTTCTGTCGAGCGAAGGGAGCTTTCCAAAGAATTTCACTGCTCTCTAGAACCTCAAACAGCCTTTGAGAGAGTCCGGCCGGCGTAGTCTGTGACACCGGCTCGATTAACTTTGCAACGGCATCCGAAAGAGGAAACACAATTTCAACCGGGTCTGATGGGCAAAGAGATCGTCGGATATCTTCATCGGCCTCCGGTGGATTATATTTGGTTTTCTCTAGTAGATGATGATATTAGCTATGCGAATGAGGAGAGACTGAATTGCGGTATTGTGATGCTTACTCGGATAGCTTTCAGCTAGATCTCTCATTTCCATAAGACGTTGCGGATATTCCGGGGGAATTGCTCGGCTAGGTTGATCTCCGGATCTTTCATGACTGCGGCTTGGAGCTTTTTCAATATGTGGGCATTGAACCTCGCGGCTTTGGCCTTGCTGGCAGGTTGAGCGTCTGAGTCGAATTCCCTTTTTTCCGCCATCTTCCAAGACGGCAATTTGGAGCCTCACGATCAAAAAGTGGAATGTAAGTCAGAACAGATAACGATGCTCAATAAAAGAGAGGATATGGGCGAGCAAGAGTGAGGATGAATGAGAAATAGGAGGGTGCTTCGTTAATTGTCGGTGTGGTTTCTGCCACATAGTCAGCCAATGGCTACGAAGCGGTATAGGCGCCGTAACCAATAAAAATGAGGCTTTTGATCCCCATACAAACGGCGACATCTCCATATTTTTAGATGGTTTGCAAGTGCTAAAAATGAAGTTTTTCATCTATACACGAATAGCAGTATCTCCATATTTTTGGACGTTTTACAAGTGTCAAAAATGAAGTTTTTGATCCTATACAAAGTGAGATGAGATATCTCCACTAACACTTGCAAACAACCAGAAAACATGGAGATATCTGAATTTGTTTGAGAAGAAAAACTTCATTTTTGACACTTGCAAACCACCTAAGAAAGTCGAGATATCTGAATTTGTATGGGATGAAAAGCTTTATTTTTGAGAGTTGTCAGCGCCAGCAAAATCAGGCTACTTTAAGGAAGTGTCATGGTAATTCAGGTATTTTAATTCTTCTGCCGGTATTAATTCAGGCCGCCAGGTCAAAGCAAGGCATCAAGGCATCAACATTTACCGGAAATAGGGTTTTGGCAGCTGGCCGCTTCGTACAATGGCCAAAACATAAAACATAACTACAGAAACATCCTATAATAGTGACATTGCATTTAGACTTTAGTGCGAAGGTGTGGGTTGTGCATAATGTATCAAGACATATCGGCCGTTTCAACGAGCCGCAATACACAAGAAACAGGCCGGGGTGGTAGGCTATTGTCGAGCTCCTGACGGAGCAGTTTGGTGTTCAAGAGGTCTTAGATAAGGAATACAGGTAGAACTGGAAATTGTCTATTGCGCGGAGAGGGAGAGAGAAGAGAAGAACTATCTAAGCTATGTGGGGACAAATAATTGGATATGCAAGGTCTCGCAACAAGAGGGCAATATCAGATCCCAACCATATCATTCCACGGCGTCAGAAACAACCAACCAGCTCGGAAAAATTGTGGTGGATTGGGTACCGATGATGGACGGCGCCAACCTTTATGTCTATTTTAATTCAGAAACTCCTGTCCGATACGTCTATGATGCGGATGGGAATAATTGTAGACTCGATCCGGAAGACCAACCCAATGGAATCGCAAAGATTTAGTTTAGATAGAAGATCTAAGCCAGTAAAATTATTGTCTAAACGACAGCCGTTTCTATGTAACTTCAAGCTGAATGGAGGAAATAAAGGTGCAAGATCATTCCATTGAAATTCGTATTTGCAACTTCGTAGAATTTTATATCTGCGATGAACTTAGAAAACAACGCTGGTCTCGACCAGCCCTCAGCGCTGGGGACTAATCTGATTATCATAGCCACGGAAACGTCTCAATCTACTAAATTTCGTCCGAAAATGATATATGGAGGATGGAGTAGATCTTAAATACAATGCACAAGGCCCTTCTATAGAAAAGTAACGTATGCCTGAGAATTAGTAGGTACCACTGGTACATTTAAAGTTTGCCCAATTATTCTTACTAAAATTATATGTATGTAAGTACATATACGTATGTCATATAGTTATCATGATATAGATATACTACCCGATAGAAATCTAACCATCACATTACTAGTACAAAAGATCGCCCATCCCGTGGAGCATTGCCATAGCTTGATAGAATCTAAATTGTTAAAACCTACTTCAACGATCAATGTCCACAATAAACGAGACTACCTCCATCTTTTCGCCAAGCTCCCAGCTCTGACAGATCACATGGTGCTTTAGAGCCTTTGACGTTGTCTGTTAACGGACTATCTCCATTGAGTCGGCAAGACTTTGAATAATATCTTTTGTATTAGGTCCCCGGCAGCTGACCCTAGTATTGAAGGTTCGGTCTTTTCGCTTTCGAGGGCGGGATATAAACTCTATACCCTCGTCTACCGTCGGGATTTCAAAAGCAACCGGAAATTGGATATCGTAGCGAGCTTCTCTTAAGGTGTTGAATGAGAAGCTCTTGAGTACAGGAAACTCGCTGAGCATTCTAAGTATCGATTTCCAGCCTAAGCCTAAGCTCTCCAGTGTTATCCAAGCTATATTGAGGACACGAAGGCTGTCCCGATAGTTGTGTAATAGCTTGCTTAAGCTCGCTTCGTTGATTTTTGATTTCGTCACCCCTTTTAGCGTGAGTTCCTACAGCTGCGAAGTCGTGCCAAGGGAGGAAAGGCGTTCAATAAGTCCGCGTGCTGCCCAACCGTTATCGAATACGATTGTCAATTTATACAGGTCAGTTGTATGCCGCACTATTAGGTCAATCCAGTCGGCAATCCCAATTTTTTCTATTGTAAAGTTCAATAGGAGAACTTGCAAGTTGGCCCAAACAGCAATAAACTCTGGCTTCCAAAGATCAGGCATATTAAGGCGTCTTAAATCGAGTTCGTTTGCTCCTCCGCGAAGTTCCGGTATAAAATCAACCAGAAATCCTTTGACGGGGATATGAGCCTCGATGATACCATTGAGAATCAGTATTATGATATCAGTAGACGTGAAGTGATCGAGACGGGTATCTTTATCAGACTAGCCCTGCCGAATAAGGTGAAATGACGTGCAGTTCACTAGACCACGCAGAGCCTCAGCCTATTTCTGAACATCTGCGTCCGGTAGCAAATAGCCGGAGGAATGTCGATTCCATATTAAGCCTTCTCCAAGTTTATCTTCTGGCCTATCGACATATTTCACGGCTAGGCAACAAACATGCGGTACTAGCTCTGAATCGTTTGCTATGGCTTCCACCCTTTCAAGGCCTTTGAGGGACAGGTTTGTCTCCAACCTTTCGAAGAATGTACAGCGAAAAATGTACATAGTGTTCTCATAGATGCTCTTACAAGACAACCGAAATGAGCACAGATCTTCTGCCGGTAAGCGAGATGCAATCGCTTGCAGTAATTCGATGGGGAGATCCCCAAAATTCGAAGAAGTTAACATGATCTTTTCTCCGGGACCATTTCTTCCCCAAGGACGAAAACATTATCGACCGAAAATGTTCAATTAAAGCAGGGTAGACTCAGGAGGCTGTATCAGCTGACCCCAGCCCCCCGGAAGAGGTTTATCCCGGTAAATAAATGTGCGCAAAGCCACAACAACGAATTGAACTGAAGAATATCTCATTTTGGGGCTGTGTGCAGATGCCAAGGGCCGAAGCGTTTCAGGTTCAACTTATAATCATATCGCTATATCACTTGAGGAGGTCAGTGCGGCGTCACGCTACCTAGGGTGATTCTCACCTGCTTCTCACCCAGCTTTTGATGGAGATCCTACGTGGTTGCAATATGGAGAAACAACACTGCGGGATTCGTATGTGTGGGTTGGACAGAGAGGAGAAGGAGAGAAGGAGAGAAGGAGAGAGAGAGACTATGTATCTACTGCATAAAGTGGATCTGTCCCATGTGGGTCCTGAGCCTCAGGCACCCAGGCACCCAACAGCTTCTCACCCAGCTTCTGCCATTTCTCACCCGAGCGACACCCGACTACTGGCCGCACATAAGTGAGTTAGTAGTTGGGTGGATGACCACCAGCGAATCCTCGCTGTTGTATGTTTTTGTTTTATTTTCCATGTTTTAGTGGAGGGGAAACGACCTGTTTGAGACGAGGTTGGTGTATTAGTATTAGTATATCAATGATCGACATAAACGCTAGGCTGAAACGCCACTCGTCCTACGACGGGGAAGAATATGATATTGGGTATTGGGTCGGAAGCTTTCGGTATGTCCTACGTCCTACCGAAGCATCACATATGAGTTTGCTAAGTTCGATCATCACTGCTGGCCAAATGACTGAGACACTGGGGCTGAACTGGCAAATCGCGATTTTGCGTAAGGGCCAGAGCTCCTACGGGTTGTCAAAGCGTAGCTGTGGATTCTGCATGATGACTTTTCCTTCTCTCTCTGCCTCAGTCATTTACGTGCATAGATCGTTCAGCCTTTGACCAAATTTTTGCTGAGCGATTACGGCAGGTTTTAATGAGCGATGCGAAATTGTGGCAGGCCTATCTCAAATACTCGAAGAATGCCACGGCTCATACAGTGTTCAATAGAAATCGACACTGCACAGAAGGCACTGATGAACTAAACTTACATAGAAAGTCTTTGCGGGAAATCTCAACAATCGCAATGGACTGGACATATAAGATCCAATATTATCAATGACAAGAACCGTAGGTATGGACGGATGGACGCAATTAAAGAGCCGCATGGTTAAAGTCAACAGAAATATTACACTGTAGCTATGTGACTGCATTTCAGGACCCCAGCGCTTTCCGCTGCTGTTACTCAAACTACACCCCAACCTCCACTACGCTTTCCCAGTCTTGCGTTTCTTTGGTGGACTTTTCCTTTGAAACTCTTCGGCATACACTTTGAAGAAGTCATCTGGCTCCTGGGGGTGCGAATTGGTGATGTCGTGGAAGGCCGAGGTCGAAATGTAGTTCGTTTTCCCTTCACGGACGAGAGAATAGTACTCTAGTAAGTACTGCTGCTCCGAATTATCACTAGCTGACTGGGATTGAAGGACTCTCTTAGCTTCCGACCTAGCAGTTCGAATATTGTTAGCCCATGCTTTGTATGTGTGGACGATTATGAAAAGCGCTATTTTCACATACTCCGGAATATCTTCAAATCTCAGCTCTTGTCCTAATGCTTTGCTGGCAGCAGAAGCAAGTTCATCTCCAGTCGCTAGCATTGGGCCTGAATAGTATTAGCGGCGGAAAACAGCTTTCACGGATCTGGCTACTTCACCTGTTAACACAATTAATTGGCCGCGATGTTTATCGCTAAATCCATGTTTTCCCTTTCCGGAAAGGACGTATGCCGCAACCTGCGCGACGTCCTGATGGCTTTGTTAGTTGATGTTCATTTGGGCATGCTTTATATAACTTACCCCTAATGCAATTGGAGCAAATTTATGATTAGATCCAAGCGGGATGGGAAGAACTCCTTCTTCTTGCGCATGCTGGGAATAACGAAGCAGGTTCTCAGCGTAAAATCCGGCTCTGGGCCACCAAGTTAGCAAACTATAACTAACTTCAATTTCAAAACCATCCTACCTAATCACAACAGGAGAGTGGCCGGTGGCCGTGGATGGATCACCCTTGCTAGACAACACACGTGTCTCCAAGTCGATGAATTCTCGCAGTTTTGGTTGCTTATTACGTTCCGCAAGATCGCAGCCAGCAGAACTTATGAAGCAAACGTTAGGTACGTTCGCCTTTTTTGCAGCGTCAATCAGTTCCACAGTCAGGTCGAGCTTATCCTCGCGTGCAGGAGGGATGAGACACAATGTGTCTGCGCCGATCGCTTTAATAGAGTCCACCATCTTACTCAGTCGGCCCGGCTCGTGCGCAACGACCTTAGCCCCGAGCTTGGATAGCTGATTGCAAGCTTCTCCATGAGGTTGAAGAGACAGGCAAGTGACCGAGTCAATGTTGTTGCTGAAGTTATCGTTTGTCAATAGCAGCTCCACGATAGTGGAGCCTGTGTGGCCCTCTGCGGCGGTAACACAGACGTGACGCGACATGATTGAGACGTTCAAAACTCTTAGGTACAATTTCCCAGGCTATCAATGGTACATTTTCCAGCTCTACGGGATAATGTGAGCTGCTTTTATAATGATTGAACGTACAATACAAGATTACGACAAATGCGCGTCAATGTCCTTCTAGTATTATCTGCCTAGCGAAGAACAAAATGGCAACGAAAGACAAGTAGATAAATATGATTGCCCGGCTTGTAGACCCCATGCTTCTACATTGGCCTGGTTATGTAGCCCGAATATATTATGTCACTCTGATAACTCCCCCACGCCACTAAATGGAATGGTCACGGAAAAGAAAAAGCATTTATTGAGGATAGACAAGCCGCAATAATAGATTTCCGTTTACACGGGGAGGGGAACAACGGTAATGGTAAGCATCATAATGACGGATTTTGGGGGCACAACAAATCCGGTATCTGACAAGTGAGCGATATTCCAGTTGTTAGCGTGAAGCGGTTATGATGCGGACCAGGAATAAAAGCCAAGCATTTTGAGATTGATGCGTTGGAGCATTGAATGATGCTGTTTGACCATGATGACACGGGGCGCGCCACCTTTTGTTCAATGTGCTCGATGGGTGTCGTCCCGCTTTTCACTTGCGCTCAACCAATTTGAGTCATTTGTCTGAAGAAGAGGTGTTTGGACCTGTGGTGATTTTTACCTAAAGGGACAAGCCGGTTAACAAGTAGCCACTACGCATGTAGTTAAGCCAATATTGTGATGCGGGCTCGTATATGCTCAAGGTCACCAGTTCAAGCGGCGATTGTAACTCACTTAACGAGACCAAATATAGTCGACGGTATGCTAGGGCGAGACGCGAGAGTTGAGAAAGGTATACAGGAATTCAACCAATTTATTGTAAACTTTATGCAGTTTATACTTGATCGGCTCCTTCTAGATGTCAGTCGTCACAAATGTGTGAGTACTATCAGATCAGAAACTACGAAGGTATATCCCATCAATCTCTCCAATTCGTCGTAGATACATTCTCACTACTGCTATCAAAGAGCTGTCCATTGCGCCTCGGTGGGTATCGTACCCGAGTTTATGTGATCTTGTATGCTTTACTGCCAATTGAACACGGCAAAGTCGGACCAAGTAAAAGCTTTGATGTGAGACATTATCAGCTGAAATTTCATGGTGTGAAATTCTTGCAAGTGCTCCTCTAGTTGGCTCCAGTTAGCTATATCAACCTTCAGACCACAGCGCTTTAAGCACTAAGTGCCGTCAAATCTGTTTTGGAAGCGAGCTGATGGTAACCGTCTCCTGCATCATGTATAGTCATCATCCACAAGACAGTACTTTATTCTACCTTGATTTGTATGCAGATTGCCTAATTCGGCGTAGAGCTATCGGTGATGGGAAGATGACGAGCAAACTGCGTGCCCTTGACGTCTCGACCCTAACCCTATATTCATTCCAGGGAAATTTGCTAAATATCAAGAGGGTAGATATCTTTTTTGCTTGGTCTTACTTGTTTTTACTTGGTTCTAAAACGCTTATCTGGAAGGGAGTAGCGGCTTAAAAGCCGTGACACCCCTACGTGTGATCAATATCAGACATACTTACATCCTTTATTGATAATCAATCCAATCTGAACATGGCCGCTCACCCAATTCAAGCATTAGGGGAGGCAATTGGCTCCGTGGGGGTCGACCCCAGGGCTTACCAGCTTTCTTCACTGTTTCAAGGAGCCAATGATGGCCCCGCAAAAACCGCTGCAAAGATTACTGGTGTGCGAGGCCCCGGAAAAAGAGTGGATGATAGTACCTACTTCACAAGTAATGAGGGCATACCCTTCCCGGATGGAGCTCACAGCAAGACCATCGGAGGCATGCCTGTGGCTTCTGATATCCATCTATTCCAGAAACAGCAGCACTTCAACCGATCTAAAAACCTGGAGAGAATGGTTCACCCTTGTAAGTTCTTTTTTTCGATTTCCATAACTTTGTTTATGTCTGACCTTCTCAAGGTGGCAGTGGGGCCTTCGGATATTTCGAGACAACTAAAGATGTTACGGCGTATTGCAAGGTTCGTTTACCCAAAGGCAATCCCCACGGCCTCAACTAAAGTATAAAAGGCCGATTTCTTGAAAGGCATTGGTCTCAAAACCCCAGTGTTCACCCGATTTTCTACTGTCACCCTCGGTCGCGAGTTTCCCGATCTGGCTCGAAACCCTCGTGGCTTTGCCATCAAATTTTACACGGGGGAGGGCAACTATGATATTGTCGGGTTGAACTTTGTATGTCTCTCCATACCCCCTACTGTTTCCTGCTATTGATTATCCCAAGCCTGTCTTCTTTTGCCGTGATCCCATCCAAGGCCCGGATGTGATCCGCTCCCAATACCGGAACCCACAGAATTTTTTACTCGATCATAACTCGCTGTTTGATCTTCTTGCTAACACACCGGAAGGGTAAGAACAAGGTCACGACAAGAAGTGAATTGAGCGGAATGTCTAACATTCGCACAGTAACCATGCGGGAATGATGTTTTTCAGTGACCACGGTACACCACAAGGATGGAGACATAATCACGGATACGGATGCCATACCTTCAAATGGTGCGGTTATCTATAGCGCTCTTTTCACATACAATTTTCACGTACAGGACGGCTAACCCAGTTCCTAAAAGGGTCAACAAAGACGGTAAATTTGTCTATATAAAGTATCATTTCCTCGCCAATCACGGTCAAAAGCAATTCACTGCCGATGAAGCCACGAGACTTAGCGGCGAAGATCCCGATTACTCCAAGCGCGACCTTTGGCGGGCCATTGAAAATGGCGAAGAGATTACCTGGACTGCGCATGTGCAGATCATGCAGCCGGAAGAAGCCGATCCAGATAATCTTGGATTTGACCCATTTGATGTCACCAAAGTTTGGCCCAAAAGCAAGTTCCCGGTAAGCATTTTCATCTACCAATGTAGACACTTCGCCTAACAAGATTATCGAAGTTGCGCGAATTCGGCAAGCTGGTTTTGAACCGCAATCCGGGGAATTTTCATAGAGATGTTGAGCAGGCTGCATTCTCTCCGGGCAGCATGGTCCCAGGTATAGAAGATAGCCCAGATCCTCTTCTTCAATTTCGCACTTTCTTCTATCGTGATGCCCAACTGCATCGAATTGGAGTCAACTGGCATCAAATTCCAGGTGAGATCCTCTATCCTTTATAAAGACGTAATACTGATGTTTCCTTGAGTCAACTGTCCATTCATGGCATCCTCTTACGCTTCATTGAACTTCGATGGCCAAATGAGAGCCGACGCAAACCATGCTGGAAATCCACAGTATGCACCGAACAGTTTCGTGAATAAGTTCCGCCCTGATACTGCCGAAACTCCATACCAGGTTGCCGATAGCACTGTGAGTCGTAAGTCGCATTTCTGGCATGAGGGCAGCCTCTCCGAGTATGAGCAGACTCGAGCGCTCTATGAAAAGGTTATGAATGGCAAAGCCCGGGAGCATTTGCACTCGAACACTGCCTCCGCACTCAAGAAGGTCGAGTACCCCGTGATCCAAATGAAATATTTGGCACAGCTGTTCAAAGTTTCGCATGAATATGCTAAAGCAGTGTACGATCTGTTGCCGAAGAAATCGTTCAGCTTCGACGAAGTGGAAGAAATTTCCAGAGGAGCTGAGAAGATGGGCAAGGAGGAAAAGTTCTGTCCAAGTGCGAAAACAGATAAGTTAGTGGGAAAATGTCCCGGCAAAAAGGTTTACAACGCCTAGTGCAGCTGGCGGTTATATTAGCACTACAAATATTCAACATAAATTGTAACTTCTCTAAGTTTTGATCGGTAATTTATTCATGCCGCGTAGATTTATTTCACATTAAAGATGAGGTGTTTTATGGCATAGGACTTGATCTGGATATGGATTGGGAATGGGACCACTGACTGGCTATGACTATTTCCTCACAACACCTAGCAAAATACATTATCTCCCTGCCCTTGGGGGCGTGACCAGTTATAAAATAGAAAAATAGGCTAGAGTAGAGGAAAGCAAGCGAACAAGCAAAGTGGTATGAAGGAAAAGAAAAAAATAACATCATTCAGATAAAGAACATAAGATAAAGATACATAGCTATTTGATATTTAATGTGGAATCTATTGATGCTTGTGGAGAAACAATACAGATAGATTCGTAATGGTAAAGATGGACGCAGAGAGAGAGAAGAGAGAAGGAGGAGAGAAACTGGTCCTAGGCCTCAGGCACCCAGGCACCCAACAATTGGTCGTACTTGGATTGGAGTAATTGGGTGAGGCACTGCCTGGGTGGATGTAGAAATTGGGCCAGGATTCATCTTGCAAGTGTATTTGGGGTTTCTCGATCTCTTGGTCGGTGGTGGGTTTGTAGTTGACTTTTGTGTGGAAGTAGGTCCCGACACGGACTGGGCTGCAGGAGCGCACCAACACGAGGTGGTTGGTGGTGGTGGGCTTGGCACCCTTCTTCAATTACCCTCTCTACAATCTACAATATAATTCAGTCCAGATTCAGTTCAGATTCAATTCAGATTCAATTCAGATTCAATTCAGATTCAGTTCAGATTCAGTTCAGATTCAGTTCAGATTCAATTCAGATTCAACATTAGTTTTTGTAAAGTGAGAGTAGATCTAAATTACTGCTAGTAATATAAACCAATGAGAGAGTCATGTGCCGGTGGCAGACTTAGTCACCTGTACACGTGATTATTCCTCGAGAAATGATCTACCAATAGCGGCTCCATTCTGCCGTCGCCGCCCGGCAGAACTACACATCTTAAAGCTACATTGTGACGGACTTGAAAGGCGGTGAGTTAATGGCAGTATAGTGGGGTTCCCATCAAGAGAACCCACTTCCCTAGTTATTCTCTCTCCCACCATCCTTAACCAATCAATATCATCAATTCCTTCGGGTCCTTTATCATTCTTGTTCCTTACATCCCGAGGTCCACGTTATTGACTACACCACTAACGTTAATCCGAGTGAGACCATCAGCTAAAATGGCAAAACGTCAAAAGACGGACATCCCGTCCTCCATCAACCCCATCGAATAGACCCATGGGCCATTAGCCGTGACCCTCTCAGCGAAATTGTACCACAGTCGATCCCAGATTACAGCGAGCTTTGCCACCCGAGGTAAGTCGCCATATCTAGTTAAGTAATAGTATCATTTCGCTAATTAGACTAGGGCCAAGCTAACTATACTCTATCGGGGGTTACAAGGGAAGACCCCATCATAACAATACGGCAAGCCATATCACCAGATCCGGTGATATTCAACGATAGTCGCCAATCATGGGCGAATAGCGAGGGAACGACCCTCCTAGAAACGCTTCAGACTCTCTCACAGGCTATCCGAGACCTCAACAAAAGGGCTGATGCCTAAGAGAAGGAACTTCGGGACACACAGAAGGACCTTGAAGAGGCCGAAAAAGCCCTCATAAAGTATGAGCGGACGTTTGATGCGCATACAATCGAGGTACGGTCGATTGTCCTAGACAAATGGGCTGGGGTACCAATCAGCAATAAGAGAAGGAAGGTCTCAGCGCAACGCTGCTGCCCATGGAGGTAGTATCCTTGCGGGTTATGATGTGATCCGTAGGGAGATTGACCAGCCAGAGTCAAGGGCGGACCGGTGGAAGCCGGTGTTTGAATCCCACTACAATGTGTCGTGGGACTTTCTTTATACCCGCGGAGGGCTTGTTTCAGCTAGCAAAGAGCTAGTTCGGATCTTCGATTATCTTGCCAATATTAGAAATTAAGAATAACAATTTATATTTAAAGGGTTGTATATATAGACTAGATCATTCATCAAGAACAACCACCCCCAGCCGCCGAGCAGCCGTATTCATGTCTACGACCCGGGAAACGATTGTATCATCAGATGAAGTGTCCGGATCCTCAGACTCGTCCGAGTCCGTCATATAGAAGTACACCCCAGCCTCTGAGACGAACTTTGCACGGTCAAGAATAACTGTGAACGTACGAAATCCGCTATCGTCGCATGCCCCCTGTGAGCTTTTAATATATTGGTCGGGTCCTTGAGGTGTAAAACGTTTTGCTGCTAGGGGTTGACTATCCCCTGTTGTGATATTGTGTAGTGCCCCAATAGAAAAGGGATTTTCTCGGTTGTCTTCATTTTGCTGGGATAGAATCTCAAGAACTTCGTTCTGAGCGGGCCTGATGGCCGACCAGGAATTGGACTTTGGAATGAAGAATTTGAGAGTGAGAGTTTTGTTGGCCGGGAGGTTGGAGACCATTGACGCCGTAAAGAGGCGCGCTGTGCTTTCTAAGAGAGAACCTTCTGTGTCGCGTATGTGGCTGAGAAAGGCCGTATGGACAATGTATTGAATATCAGGGGTTTCGCCCTTAGGGGTATTGGTGACTGTCACGATGTTGGCTTCCTGAGAAATATGGAATGCCGGACCAAGAGAGAAGCCGCCAACTGAGGTTTCTAGGCCTAGCTGGTTACGAATCTGTTCTTCTGTCGGCATATCCTGGCTAGGAGGCTTGCCCTCATCAATACCTAAGGCGTCTCGCTCCGGATAGGGAGGGACATTATTGAAGATATCGAGAATCATTAACTGGCCTATATAGATCTGGTCTATAAGGCGCTCGATGACGAATTCAAATGCCTCTGACGGGAGTTTCTCTTGGCCCTTATGCAAATGCTGCGCCAAGTCAACCTTAGTACACGTGCTAGAAAATGTGCGATTGAAATAGAGTAAGTCTGGGCCTTCGCCTATCTCCTCAGCCTCCTCCGAGTCCTGCATATTGCCTACTCGATAACTGTGCGATCGTAGTAGGACACAAAATCCAATATTCGAGGATGAATATGGACGATTGAATCTCGGGATCAGTGGGAGGGGATTTTCAATCCCTGACTGATTTTCAATCCCTGACTGATGTTGCTGCTTGCGACGGGCGATTTCAATGCGATTATGTTCGATGCAGGCAAAGCCATCGGGCGGGCGATATGAATAAATCTCGAATAAAGGCTTGACTTCATCATTCCAGAACATCTGCATGAGGTAGTTTCGGAGCTCGTCGTGGTCGTCGTCCAGGGGAACAAGGCTGTAGACCTGAAAGGCAACTAGTTCACTGGGCTCTGGCTCGTATTCTGGGTTTACGTACTGCTCGAGCACGACAGGATGACCCAGATGGTCAGCGTAAGTGCGCACTTGTTTCCAAGACCTAGACATGGCGACTGGTCTTTGGGGGGTAATTAACACTTGATGGAAACCAGGTTTAAAAAAAGACAAGTCAAGTAAACGTCGTGGGGAACGACGGGAGAGGGGTTATATAAGCAGGGAGAAGATCGACAGTTAACTAGTTAGTTAGTTAGCACTAATCGACCAACGTAGAACGAACCTTTTAAGGGACTTTCTCGTATAATGCTCTCTAACAGAGATCCTACGGAGTTGCAATTCAGAGATGGAGAAACAACACGGTAGGATTCGTCTGAGAGCAGAAGGACGGAGAGAGAAGAGAGGAAAAGGGGGAGAAAGAGAAGCTATCTACAAGTGTGGATCTGTCTCATGTGGAGCAATATGCCTCAGGCATCAAGGCACCCAACACTCTCTTTAAGTCGAGTGTTACTACCTCGTATAGGAACTTAAACCTTAGACTCGAACGGTGCTTTGCGACTTTCTAATAGTCCTCTTACTTACTCCTAGAAACTATCAATTAGAAAACAGGGGGATTCCGACCAACATTAGCCGAAATTTAACTTTTTCGGCAGCCGACGTATACTCTTATAACTAGGTTGTAGTGTCTTTGGACAATAAAGACTGGATGGTCATCGGAAACTCAAGTCTCGAACAATACGAGGAAATGGACCGAAAGAACACTAAATGGTATCTATTCACCAATGAGGTAACATGTCCGCTACTTCAAAAGTCTTGAATGCACCAATTGGTAGCTGGCGCAAACTAACAAACACCTCGACAAACATATATCCCCGAGCACTAACATATAGGAAGATTATTGGAAGAATGATCATAATTTCCCAACGTAAGATAGGTTTTGCTTCCCTTTGCTCTTTCTCAAAGGCATTTAAGCGACTGATAGTATCTTGACGTGCCAGCGCGGCCTCCGCGTCGATTTGTCGCTGCGATAGTGGGCTTTTCATCCGCAGCCAGATCAGGTATTTGTCCCATCTACCAAAGCGCTGACGAGCAGCAATTGTTTCAAAGATCCAATATAGCACAGTTGCACCCGTTACAATAGAGCTTGCAACCCGCCAAAGAATTTGCTCAACCCGAGAGGGAAAGACAAAATACCATCCTATAAGGTGGAAGGAAGCAAATGCTGAGGTTAAACAAAATAGAGAAAATTTTTCAAACGTCCCGATATCCGGGAATCGGTCATCTGGAAAGCGTCGTAAGGGCCTTTCGCGGTCGTCAAACCGTAAACCAAAGAACCCCATGACGTCGTAGCCACAAGTGAAGGATTGTTTGGCGACGAAGTCGAGAGGCGTGTGGCGGTAAGGTGTAGCAGCAATATCACCAGCTTCGAGAAGAACATCGGCCGTGCTAGCTTCCATGTTAAGAACAATGCCGGTGTGGACGTCACTTGGTTTGTGCATCCAACAAATAAAAGTCCCAAAGGTACAAATCACAATAGCCGCTGACAGTTCGAGCGTAGTGGTTGGAAGCTTAAGAATGAAGCGACCAAAGAGTTGGATCATCAGCCAAGTAGCCTGCCCGACGCTGAGCAGTCTAGCGAGTGTATCTGTTTTTGACTTGTCCCATATCTCGTTCTGCGTAATCTGTGGACAATCTAAGTACTGCTTTTCGACCAGGTACGCCAATTGACGGCTGTTGACTAGAAAGGGCGCGCTGTTTTTAGGCTGAAGGAGCATCCCGCCCATGTCGGCATAGAAACCGTGCCGTAGAGTCCATCTGTCTTCTTTCATTCCCAGTTTGCGGAAACGTTTCACAGATCGCCGTGCTGACGCATATTGACCGATAGCAACAGAAAGGACTAACTCCGGGGAGACAATCGCCCAAAACATCCACTTTGCACGGCGAGAAAGGATTTGAAATTGACTGTCTCTGGGGTTAGGAAGACTTAGACAGATGGCTGTCCAAGTACAGAGAAAGACTGTCAACAGTGAAGACCAAATAATGTCCATCGTTCCCCGTGTGTTGGGCCCGGATACCCAGCCAGCGGTGCCATTGTTTGAGATGACGTCCATAGCATAAAGAGAAGCGCAATAAAAGATGTTCTATGTGCATGGTGAGTATCGCGGGCAAGTAAAATAATATAACCATCACATATCATGGCCAGCACTCATACCTATCTTTTTCGGTACCCATAGATCCAAGTCTCTTTACTCTACTCTGCTCCTAATTTGTGATCTAGATGCCAACGGACACGGATAAAAATATACCTGCATATTTTTTAGCGCCAGTATAATCTTGAGAAAACCTGCCCAACAATTGTCGTGTAGCCGCCTGGTGGGCTTGCCAATTGTGCCTGAAACGAGGGGCATGCATGGCTCTTGCCAAAGGGCACGTCGACCTGAGATTTGCAGATTTGTGGCTTTCTCACAATAAGGGGCAAAGGCGTGGGTTCGGATGAGAAAGACTCATTTCAGTTATAGATATATGCTATGAACCTGAGGCCAATGTGCGATTTGGTTCAACACACGGTGCCCCTTTCGAGATACACCTCACCAACAAATCGGTCAATGCAGCGATAGAAAGTAGGATACTGCTCTGTTAGCAAAGTACGCTACTGCAGAGCTAGCCACTGTCGGGGGACTAATTTTGAATCGGCCAATCGTGACACGTGTTTGGTGTTTGGTGTGATGGGTTTCACCGTCGCGTGTCGCGCGCGAAAAGAGGGCGCTTAGGGGAAATTTGACAGAAAAAACACGCACTGAGATCGTTTCATCGCTCAAAATAATTCAATATTTCCAAGGTTCTTCCAATTCATCTTTTTTGCAGTGCTTGACACCTTCAGATCCAAGAAGACTACAAGGATGACCCGACGCGCGACATCCCCGCTCCAACACTCCCAATTATTGACTGAGAGCTTGCCAGCCACCTCCAAGCCAGATTATCAGTCGTACTGGCCAACTATTGGAAGCAAAGATAAAATTCCGGGATGGCTGTGTGATAATGATTATATTTTAGAAGGCCATCCAATGCCCACATATTCTTACAAACGATCTTTGCGTCTGTGGCGTTGTTTACACATGGAAACAATGAACATTTGGACTCATCTACTCGGATCGATAGCCTTCATCGCTGTTGGTTTCACTCTGAAGCATTCCGTTTCGATCTCAGAAGAACTCAATTTCACCCGCGGCGATGTATTTGCTTTCGGATCCTTCTTGGCCTCGGCAACCATCTGCTTTGGCCTCAGCGCTGGATTCCATACCCTAAGAAGCCACTCTTACAATATTCACCATCTCTGGGGAAGAATGGATATTCTCGGGATCTGTTTCCTCGCTCTCGGAGCTGGTACCTCCATGACATATTACGCGTTTTATTGCAGACCCTTCATCCAGCGGGTGTATTGGGGACTCAATCTCTTCTCAGCGATGGGCGCTGCCATCACTTTGTTTGACACCGGCGGTGGCGGCAATACAATGAGAACACTACGAGGAGGTGTTTTCTCTTTACTCGCTATCTCTGCCATGCTGCCGATTCTCCAAAGTGTGATTGAGTTGGGCTGGACTCGTGCGAGTAATGAAATCGGTGCTGGGTGGTATCTCGCAGAAGCACTCTCCCTCTTGACGGGAGTGCTTGTGTTTGTCTGTCGGTTCCCAGAGAGACTGAGCCCCGGAACCTTTGACATTTGGGGCCATTCACATCAGCTTTGGCATACATTTGCTGTGCTTGGAGGCGCTTTCCATGTTGTTGCTTTGGTGGCTGCATACGACTACCGTCGGATACACAAAATCTGCTGAGCTACCTCGCAGTGAAATCTTACTTAACCACTAGCCAGCTGGTACTTGGAGTAATTGATCAAAAGCGACCACCCCCACAGTATCAGGAGACATCCAATGAATGGAGCTGTTAGGGCCCCAAACCCACCGTCACTTTAGAGGTTACGGTCTCAGAGAGACAGGCAAATTTGGAGAGTGATGTCGACTTTTGGTTTGACTAGAGCAGAGATGTTCTCCAAATTACGGGGCCATGACACTGCCGTTCAAGATATCCATGGTATTCTGCATTTAGATTACAAGGTGCCTCGCAAGAGGTTTCTTAACAATGCATGTATACAAGCAGTGGATCATCACCCCCGTATACATTCTACGAGTAAAAGACCTCATCTTCGAAAGGAGAACGAGAATAATCACTGGTTTTACATAGAAAAGTCCTCTGCACAGTTTATGCCCTTTACTGCCTTTGTATACACCTAAGAAGACATTTAGGAACACATTTAAAAAAGACCACCAGAAATACCCGACAAGGCCGCATAGGCGGCCGATTATACTTGTTACTCTTGATGGGGGAAGTTCTTAGCATATTCATTTCTTTTCACTATTCCTCGCTTCTCTTTTATTTCAAAGACGGGCTACATTGAGTAAGATCGGCACGGAATTTTTGTGTGAATTTCGCGTGGATCATTGCTAGCATGTTGACTGTTTTTTGAATCTGTAAATCTATACTCCGTACCTTTAATCTGTACGTATGTGTTTAGATTTTCAACAATTCCAATTTTTTATTTCTATATGGTCAATTATGTGTTTGTTTACCCTTCGTCTATCACTTTACCCTTCGTCTATTATCTCATATCATATTGCCTCTAGACTCGAGATTCGAAGAAACCGAGTGGCCACTTCTTCAGCGCCGGTGGTCTCCGGTGGCTGGCATGCTTTAGTGCTGACCCCGCAATTTAGTTCGCGAATCAGACTGCGTAGGAAATCGGCGTGTTCTTATCTGCTGACAAGCCCTTGCATATAAGCCGTTTTTCTTGTTGTAACGTCGGCTTCATCGGTAATGTGACTTGCACCAAGTGGAAACCGCCGGCCCTTGAAACTATATATTGCAATTGCATTTTCGCTGACTTTCATAAATAAACGCCCAAACCACTTTAGACTGTGAGCCCCTCAAAGTTCTCATAAGAATGGTGTCTCTATCTAGGATTGCTTTCGTCACCTTTGGGGTCATTCATGGGGCAAATGCGTGGGGTGTATTGGGCCACGCGACTGTTGCCTATGTCGCCCAACACTACATTTCTCCCGAAGCCGCGTCATGGTAAGTCCTCTCTAAGATAACAAAAGTATTCAATGCTAATGTAATCCAAGGGCACAAGAAATTCTCAACGACACTTCTAGCTCGTATTTAGCAAACATTGCTTCTTGGGCGGACCAATATCGCCTCACAGATGACGGCAAATGGTCAGCCCCACTGCACTACATTGATGCTATGGATGATCCTCCAACAAGCTGCAACGTGGACTATGAGCGCGACTGTGGAGATGAAGGCTGCTCAATCTCTGCCATTGCCAATTATACCCTGCGCGCGGGGGATGGTAGACTTAGTGCTGATCATACCGCCGAAGCCCTCAGATTCCTCGTGCACTTCATTGGCGATCTCACACAGCCACTGCACGACGAGAACTACGAGGTTGGCGGAAATGGTATCAAGGTCACTTTCAACAACTACACTGACAACCTTCACGCGGATTGGGATACATACATGCCTGCACAGCTGATTGGCGGTAGTTCGCTTGCCGAGGCAAAGGGATGGGCCGACAGCCTGGTGGATGAAATCGCCGCTGGCACCTATAAGAACCAAGCTAAGAGCTGGACCAACGGCGATACTATCAGTGATACTGTCACTACTGCTACCCGATGGGCATCGGATGCCAATTCCTTTGTCTGTACAGTTGTCATGCCGGATGGAGCTGCTGCCCTGCAGACTGGCGATCTCTATCCGAAATACTATAACTCCGCCATCGGCACGATTGAGCTGCAGATTGCTAAAGGCGGTTACCGACTGGGCAACTGGCTCAACATGATCTACAAGCAAAAGATTGCTGCCAAGTATAAGTCAGGGAAATTCGGCAAAGGGTCTCGAGAGCCAGCGCCTGAGCCAGAGTTCTTCCGATCGTCTCTTCGTGAGCCTCGTGAAATGAGTCGCGCAAATCTGGCTAGAGCGGCCATGGGAGGATCTTGCTGCACCTCGGAAGGGCGTGAGCATAGCCATTGATCCGATGGAATTTGAAGAGAAAATATATGTTGTGGATCTAGCTACCTGGGGCTACCCATTCTTATTTGCTCTAGAACAATTTTTGATATACTACATCCTTCCTTCTTATCGCCCCATAAATTGTAACAACGCTCGTACGTTGAAAGCAAAACCCCAAGCAAATGACCAATGAATTGTGTCTTACGATTGAAATCCTTTTACTGTTCTACCTATGTCTTGTAGACATGAGTCCACAGACTATAGGTTCATTTACACATATCTACAGCCTACGCATATGATGTTGAAACTTCCAGTTAATTCTCAGTAAACTAGTATGGAATCGGGATTGCCCCTAATATCATTCTGGGTCAAGTAGATCAGATCATTAAAGCCTTGGGTCGTCAAAAACAGAAGCCGCATGAGCGGCCCACTATCCTTGTTCTTCGTTTCATTTCATTCTATCCACTCGCAAATATTCTCATGAAATTCGTTTAGTGCTGTGCACAAGCCTCGGCCCGATCCTGGACCGACTTGGAAATAGCAGGACGTTCCTGCACCAGCTTCAACCAAGCAGCAACATTGGGGAACTCCTTCTCCATATCAATTCCAAACTGGCCAGTAAGCAGATACCAAGGCACGAAAGCAGCATCGACATATGAGTACTTGTCACCGACAAGATACTGCTTTCCCTCGAGGGCGCGGTTGAGCACACCAGAGACACGGCGGATTTCGTTGATGTAACGGTCAATTGCGCTTTGCACCTTCTCTGAGTGAAAGCGACTGAACCAGATAGCCTGGCCGAAATATGGGCCTTGACCAGACACCTGGAAGTGGAGCCATTGCTTGGCGAAGTGGTATTCCTTGGAGCCGGTGGCAAAGCTGATGGTGTTTTGCTTGTCGTATGTGTCAACCAGGTATTCGACAATCGCACCGGATTCCCAGAGGGTGATGTCGGTGTTGGGGTCTTCAATTGCGGGGACGCGGCCGTTGGGGTTGATAGACTCGAATGGCTCTTTCTTCATGTCTGGGAAGTCGACGATCTTGTGGGTGTAGGGAATATTCAGCTCTTCCAGGACCATGATCACCTTCCAGGGATTGGGGCCTGGGCCATGGCCGTAGACGGTGATAGGCTTGAGAGACATTGTTTTGGTTTTGGTGGGGTAGTTATTTTTGGATTGAAGGAGAGGGGGAAATTGTGTAAAAAGGACATACCAGATCAGGAACTAAAGCTCTCTTAAATCAGACTTCCAACCCCTCAGAACCCCACAATTCTTCTCGGCTATCAATCCTGCACCTTCAAATGTCCTAAGCAAAGACCTCGGGAGTTTCCCAGATGCCATGGAACCCGAAACCTGAAGCTGACAAATGGCTCGGGGAGGGGGGACCCTGTAGAAACTTCCAGAGTACGGAATTGGATTGCTCCACGTCATTTCCAGACCCCTGGAGGTTGCAAATGCTTCGCCTTCGGCAAAAAAGTGTTACCGCCAAGCCGAACTGCCGGTGTCTGCCAGGACCTAAAATGATTACTAACATGTTGATCTTCCCATCCACGGGTGGGACTTGGTTGGATAACGATGTTGAAGTTGATAGGAAGCAGAGTATAACTCCAACCCAACTCGGAGATATCCAATTGCAAAAATCAGTGGTGTTGATATGAAAAGCAGAAGTTGACACTGTGGCTGCTTCATGGCTCGGAATATTAGGGTTTTTATCAATTGTCTGAGATCAGATTTTGGATTCCAGCACAATCATCCATGGATAGATTGGGCTGACGCATCACTCAATGACTCGGCTTGCCGTGGAGCCTCGAAAACGAGTCCGATGCAGCATATTCGTAATAGTGGGAAATCTGTGGATATGTACTGCTGCCAAGGCCGCAGGGCGTGTGAGTTAGAGTATCCAAAGAGATAATGCGGGTGATGGAGATAATTAATCATTCCTGGTTCTGTGACTCTCTGATCGAGTCATCTCTAGTCAATATAAGGTTGACAAGCCTCATCGATCGGACTTCCGGACCAACTCTATCGGACTAACACTGCTCACCCAAATATATTCCGATGCTTACATGGCCCTGCTGAATTATATGTCGGATCAGTATTTCGAAACTAAAATAGCATTTCACCGTAATCTATAGATTAGAAATCAATCAGGGCGATCACAAGTTTGTGAATTCAGTACCCCGTACTCCGTACTCCATATCGGAGTAAAAATATCATGTTCGGACTAACATCGGACTACCTCAAACCAGAACATCCCTGTTCTACTATATACTAACTTCTTAGACTAAAAATACGTGTCGGTTGAATCATTTCCGAGTTGCCTCATGTTTATCCCTTATACTCCATACTTTTGAATTTCTAATTATCCAAGGCTTCGTCCTTTTAAGCTTTCGCCCTTTGAGTCATCCTAAGCCACTTCGTAAATAGCGCCTTAGCATCTAGCCATTTATCCTCGAAATCTGGTAAGTATCCCTGCAATTTATAGAAACAGCTATGCTACATATTCTTACCAGTGGCTCTAAGACAGGCTTTTAACCGACACGAAAGGCAAAATACACCAGAATTAATTCCGAATTCCTTCGGACAAGATCCAGACCTCATCTCCGACCTGGGAGGATGGATATCTGCATTAGTCTCAGCCTAAAACTCGGTCTAACATGTGAATAGTAAAAATACGAAGTCACTAAAAATTAACTACGCCCTTCCGCAAGATATTTCTGAACGGGGAAATCTAAACGAGTTACATACGAAAGAGCCTGCGAATGAATTGCTGAATTTGGAACCCGCACTGTTCGGTGTCATTATTTAGGTCTAGAGGATGGATACACATGCCCCAGAGAGTAAGTAGCTTGTTTTATTGAACCTTTTTGGCTTTCTTACACTCTCATACATTCCATTGGATACTTCTACCGCAACGGTTTTATCGAATATATTTTTGTATTTTCCATTTCTGTAGCCCGCCAGTAAAAATTCAACTCCGAACTCCGATCTTTACTCCGATCTTTAGCGGCCCCCACACATAAGGCGGCTGTGACTGACGTCTTTGTTGGGCTGTTCCGTGTGGGTTTACAGTCCAAAGCTTCTAGATTCGATGCCTAGTACTCCGTATTATGACTGAGATAGTGGGGCTTTGGCGTTTTGAGATTTTCTCTCGGAATGCCAACCTAGCACGGAGTAAATGATGTGATGGGTGATCAACATCTCTATATAAAAACCCGATGATATCCCCGTAGAAAGAACCATTCCAATCCAATCCATTGCAACGCATTAGATCTTAGAGATCTAATCACCGACATCCTTCTCATACCTTCCTCCCGAACTATAACCACCAAACCAACTCACACTTCGTTTACATTTATATACCTCCCTTATATCAACGAACCCTCGAACTTCTCAACCAATCCTCCAAAATCCCCCAAAACACACGCACAAATCGTCAAATACAACTCAAGATGTTCAACAAGTCCTCCAACTCGTCTTCCAAGGCCACATCGAGCGCAGCCTCAACACACTCCACCGTTTCCACAGCCACAACTCTCAATTCAGCTGACCCGTCAACCAAGAACCACAAGTGGTACTCGCTCAGCTCTAAGTCCTCGAAGTCCGATTCCAGTAAGATCGCCATAGACCTTCAGAAGAAGAAGCTGCACAACGAGGCTCTTGCCAGCTACTTCAGCATGCGCTAAGTGGCTTCGAAGCAATGGATGGATGCATGTACTTCTGTGTCGATTACCATTACACCCGCTCGATCCACTTACGATAACCTGGATTGGATGCTTCGGGGCTCTCTTCTTCTTTTCTCTTGTCTGTTTTTGTGCTTGATTCGTTGCATTCGTTTCGATGCTATGCGCTGCCGTGTCGATTTTTGGGTATACTTGTTCGCCCTTTCGCCTCAATGATGGAATGATTTGGATACCATATACTACGTTTAATAATTTGTGATTCGCATTTATGTCTCAATGCGTCTGATTTTGCTGGTTTACTCGTTGGTGTTCAAATATGTCTCGTGGGAATAGAGGTCTCGTGGGAATAGAGGAATATCTTATTATATTCAAGTTGTCAAAATTTATACTCATTTAAGTGAAGTTTTCATCTCCATTTCAAATATTGACCAAGTAATTTAGTAGTGTCTGGTATTCAATGGTTCGTAGAAAACAGTGGTCATTATGAAAGGTATACAACAAATGCATGAAACCAAAACTCCAGCACACCGTGTCAAACGCTTAAAGGGGGCAACTTGGAACTCAATGCATATATTACAATCCAGCCATCAACTCTCCCATAGATATGGGTTTCCGAACCGCATTCGAGAAGCCTTCGTGGAAAGTAACCCAGACCTTCCGTCCAGCCTTAGACGACTCATCAACCCAGCCATCTGCGCTGTTTGTATCATTAAGCTGTGGTGCGGGCTGCTCAATCAGCCGACCAAAGAAGTCGCGCTTAACAGCCGCTTCCCTGATTGCTTTGGCTGCGGCCGTCTCATCAGAATCCCTAGGACCCTTGGCGCCGAGTCTAGATGCGCTCATGGCATCAGACTGCTTGCGCGTGGTCGCCTTGCGATACTCTTGGTCTAGCACCTGGCGGACTGCATACCGCACCGGCGCTGTACCACCAGAAGCCTCGATGGTACTACCTTTGATCTTCGAGAAGACCACAAGTGAGTCGATTGGTCTATTTGAGGGTATATTAGCTTTGTATGTCTCCGGAAAGATTTGGAATCCCACTCACGGTTCCATTCTGTACGCCCATCCACCGTGGTTTCCTTCATGTTCCACTCGGACTCTTTCAAAAGTCACGCCCATCCCGGTCATAACGCGCACAGTAGACTGAACAAGGGCACGCTCGGACTCTTTGCGGACGGTGGCGGTGCTTCTCTGGTCTCCGTTTCCACGGATAACAACTGGCTTGACATCTGGTGATAGCATGCGGATCAAGTAAGGGACTAGATCTGTAATGATACTTTCGTTCGACCGGAAAATGCGAGCCATGGGTGCCGAAAAAGAGGCGTGGAATGCAGTCATGGCCGCGCGGTTCTGCTTTTGTGCTTCGAAGGCAGCAAAATCGGCTTTGGGTCCTGAGAAGGGGTGGGGATCTTCAGCTTCCTCATCATCATCGTTCTTGTCATCATCGGTGGTTCTGCCAGTAGCCGTAGCAAATAGATGGTGGAATGCGACAACCGACTGGCTAAGGTATGGAATCAATTCCCATTCTTGGGATGAATGGACTTTCGAACTGATTGAATCATGGAAATGAAGCCAGTCGTGGGCGGCGTTAGGTTTGGAGAAGTAATTATCATCCTGGTATTGCTGGATGGGATATGAAGCGAAGCAGTCCGACACACAGCGGTCATGATCACCGCTAGAATCGATCATTTCCCGCAACCGGTTGATTGCGTGTCTCTTGCGCAGATCTGCCACGCCGACAGGGACACGGGTGTTGGCGGTATCAAAGCGATCTTGGAAACTCATGCCAACAGGGGCATCTGAGAAGCCAGCTCCTTCTGTGAACACACGATTCACAATCTCACGAACACCCCCACGACTTAACTCCTTGAAGAACGCGCTACCCTCAGCTGATGCATTAAGGACTCGATTCTCCAGCCAGTTCCTCGTCAGTCTGAGCGAGGATGGCACCGACTCGTTTCGAAGTTTGTGTGCCACAAATTCTGCGGCAACAAGCACGCTACGAATATCGCCCTCGGCAGACCCTTGGGTTTTGCCACTGCGCTTTTTTCTGCTCGCCATACCCCAGGCTGCTTCACATAACCTTCTAGCACCATCACTATCGCAGGGAATGCCTTCACGGCCAAATATAACCTTGACCCGCTGAACAACATTCTCCAATGGTGCTTGGCGGACGTTGATCATCTCTGCGATGGACGATGCCCTAAGAGGCCGGAGACTGCTGTGATAGAGATCATTGCAGACCAAAATCAACGGCCGCATGAATCGGAAGTTGTCACCCTTGCGCTTCTTGCCATTGTTGCCCTCCGAAGACGATTTCGCGTTCCGTTGGTCGAGCAATACAAGGTCAATGAGAGCCTTCATGAAACCGCCCTCACCGCCACTTCCAGAACCACCAGTGACACCATCGACTTCGTCCACAACGACACATACTGGTTTACCGGCACGGCGCACCTTTTTATCGCCAACCTGCACGTTCATACCTTTGACGTTCTCGGTTCCCAGCGCATCACGAATGCGGCCTTTGACCACATCCCTGCTGCGGTCATCACTTGCATTGATTTCAAGCACTTCGAAGCCAGCCTGTCTGGCACATACATGCGCTAATGTCGTCTTTCCGAGTCCGGGTGGCCCACTCAATAAAAGAACCTTTCGATGGATATACTCTTCTTCGTCCTCCTGGACAGGCTTCTTCGCCCGAGACTTGGCTAGACCAGGGAACACAATTGACTCCCACCCTTTGAGCCAGCGTAGGACTGATCGATGGGTGCGTTCATCGCCAATGAGATCGGTGAATTTACGAGCACGGTATTTCTCTGTCCACATTGCAGAGTCTATCTTCTTCTGCTTTGAGCTCACGTTGTTCGCTTCAATAGTTTTCTGGACTGGGGGTTGAGGGATTGTTTTCGTGGGCTTTTTGTCTTTGGCAGCATCGTCCAGCAATTTGTGGATGTCAATACCGTAATAGCTCTTCGTCGCTTTTCCAGGCTCTGTCTCGGATCGACTAGCGATCATTTGTTTGTAGGAAACCGGGGCCTGGACCTTTCTTTGCGCGACATTATGGGTCTTGCCAGCACACGTCTTGATCTGGAACCTCTTGGCCCGCGCGGGCCGAGGTGTCAGTTGTGATAGTGTTCGGGAAGAACTAGGCGTAGGGATGATTGTGTCGTTCAATTTCATAGGTGCCGGCGCCGGTGCCAGTATACTAGGGAGTTCCGCCGGAGGCTCCTGGAAGATGTGCTCGGGCAGGTCATATTGATTATTCACCTGCTCGTCCCGGAAAGCAGCGAGGTCGTCTTCTTCGTCATCGTCATCATCATCAACAAAGCCTCCAACCATGCGCTGGCGCTTCGGCTCCGTCGGCTGCTCGGATCCGTCCGCATTTGTGACCTTCCTCTTCTGCGAGTCATTGGTCGCATTGCCAGATGTAGGTGCAAGCGTGCTCGGAGACGCTATGAACGGCATTCTCGAAATGGGCGGCGAGGATGGGGGAAAAGAGAGATTTCGAATGGGAGTGTGAGAAAATGGTCTCGGGGTCGTAACGTTCTTCGTCGGCGTATCTACTGTGGTTGTCAGTGCCACTGTTCCAAGCAATGCATGATTGGGATCGCAAACCAGGTCGTATATCGTCCTCGCTGCGAAACACATCAGACAAATCCCACGCTCGGTGTTGAATCACAACCCTGTTGCGGGTTTGTTCGCAGCGATGCAGGTGGATTGCCTCGAGATCGTCGGAGAATGATTCGGACGGTGGGTTTATGTTACCAGGACCTTCGGAGTGGATGTGAAGGGCGGGGTCAAACGAGGATAGGAATGATGGCGAGGAGGGAAGCATTCAAGCGTTCAGACATCTCATGTCATTGAATGGTCTCCGATGTAATTCCCCTCTGATACACGCGCGACGCGTGCAGAACGCGCTAGTCCCGTTTTGGCCGCATAGTCCTTTTTCAATTTCTTCCAGGCTGTCTCTACAAATGTACACAAGCATTGTTTTATTTGTAGGCTAGATTCTTTTGAAAGAACAGTATGAAGTTTAAAGCATCCTTCCAAGGATATTAAAACTCAAATCAAAAATGATGGACATTCGGTATTGTAGACCAAACCAGTTTTGGTTCCAGTCCTCTAGTCAATGGTATACTATACGGTTCATTTAACAGACAAAAAAAAGGCATCAACCTGCTCGATAGGTCATGATACAAAAGGAGAAACTATTCGTGCGACCAAAATTAGGCGCTCTTGACCTTCTCGGTCAGCTCAGGCACCTTGTCAAACAGGTCACCGACGAGGCCAACATCAGCAATCTGGAAGATGGGGGCCTCGGGATCCTTGTTGATAGCAGCAATGACCTTGCTGTCCTTCATACCAGCCAAGTGCTGGATAGCACCGGAGATACCGGCACAGAGGTAAAGCTGAGGAGCAACGTTCTTACCAGTCTGACCAACCTGCAGACTGTTATCGGCGAAGCCACTGTCGACAGCAGCACGCGAGGCACCAATAGCAGCGCCGAGGGAATCTGCCAGAGGAAGCATGATGCGGTCAAACTCCTCCTTGGACTTCAAGCCACGGCCTCCAGACACAACACGGGTAGCTGTGGCGAGTTCCGGGCGCTCTGACTTGGCCAATTCCTCAGACACCCACTCGGTCATCGCGGGAACGTTGGGGTCCGCTCCGTCGACAACTTCGGCAGAGCCGCCCTCGGTCTCGACGTCCTGGAAGGCGGTGCCTCGCACCGTGATCACCTTGACGCTGTCGGTGGACTGGACGGTCAGAATCGCGTTGCCGGCGTAGATGGGGCGGACGAAAGCTGGGTTATGGTCAGTGGCCGGATCACATGTCAAACTTCTTCCTCGGGATTTCACATACTGTCCTCGCTCTCGATGCCGGTGATGTCCGAGATTTGCTGCACATCCAAGAGAGCAGCCACGCGGGGCAGCAGGCTCTTTCCGAAGGCAGAGTGGCCTGCAACGACGTGGGTGAATTCGCCCTTCTTTATGTTCTCGACG